TGCAGATGTGTTCACTGCTTCACATCTAAAGCTTGAATATCTGCCGCAACCGTTATCTTTAGATTGCTTATTCTCTCATACTACTTTATCTACTTCAATATCAATCCTCTTCTATCCATCTTTTTGGTATCACTCTGTGAAGTGTGGTAACTTGAGCTGATGTACCCCTGTGCGAGATCTTACGTTAATTTTGTCAGTCAGTTATTAATTCTGAATTGGCTGCCGATAACCAAGGCTTTTTATGGCTAGTTTTCCAATCACTTGCGGTCTTTGACGGTGTTTTGACTGCAGGCTGCAGACGGCACTAAACTTCTCTTCCGACGACTGTTTAACTAGTTCCCATCTAAAAGTATCCTTAGTGCTCTCATTATCGAGCTGCATTCGTAATTGTCTTGTTGCTGTAGTTTTCCTACTCCATTTAAACGTGGATATACTTGTGCATCGTGTTATCAAAACAGCGCGTTATCACTATCCAAGCGCGTGCTCCATAAGCGGCTGCAATCTTTCGTTGAACTGCCCCAACGATAGCTGATAACAATGTTTTGTTCTATTTGTTATGCACTGTCAAGTGTAGGTTGTGTTGGAATATTACTTTATTAGGGATTTCTCTAAACTACTGTATTATGAATTAGGAGGTGTCGTTATTCATCCACAACACTGACACACGATGCTGGATACTGATCACGAGAATACTGTCCTCATACTACTGAAGCACGCAAGACAAGACTAGAAAGGCTTCAGAAAAGTGAAAGCTTACTGAATACTTGCTATAACATGTTTGTTTTACTGTACCCATAATTGCCAAGTTTAATGTGGAAAAATTGTCTTCTCCTACGGTAGTTAATAATGGAGTTATATCAATAACTTGGCCAGAGTTTATAATCAATATATTACTTTTCGTGCCTTGGGTTCCTAGTGGAACATAGGGGTCAGTTGCACGTCGCCATTTCACTCTGTTCTCTGCGGTCTTTTGAACCTGGCTCCAAGACTGCTCACAAGCTTTCATTTCTTCCTCGCATGATCTCTTCCATGTCACCCTCGCCTCGGATGGCCAACTCATCGTTTCCCATCTGGGTTCCATTCGACGACCTGGCGCGTGATGTCCTCAATCGGTCTTCTCAGTGTATGCTCGACCCATTTACACTTTCTTCTGTATATTCGTCAGGTGATAAGTTCTTGGCTGGTTGGTTCGTCGTCAGAGTTCCTTATTGCTCATCCTTTCTGGCCATCTGATCTTCAGCATTAAGTGAGCGTAGGCGGCAGCTGCTGATGAATGTCTGTAGTTTGTTGGAAATGCTTTTCGTGACGCGGTGAGTCTCTCAAACATCACATAGAAGCACTGACTTGACTGAATTAGTGTTGAAAATCCTGATGTTGTTCCACATGCTGAGTGCAGAAGATCTCCACACTGGTTTCAGACTAATGAGGCCTATCTTGCTGTCTTTCCGATCCTGGCTTTGACGTCCTCGTCTGTGCCACCTGTAGTTGAAACGATGCTGTCCAGCATAGGTAGGTGAAAGAGACAACTTCTTTTAGGTTTGTTCCGTTGATGGTGATTGGTGCTTGTTGTTGTTGGTTGGGTAAGAGTTTATAATAGGACAGTAAATGCGAGTGACTCCATCTTTGATCAGTGTCAAGGATGAATATTTAGGCCAGATTTTACATGGAAAACACTGACCAGTTAACTGATTATGTTCGTTCTAACGCGCACAGTGTCTCTATGTCTGAAGTTCTTGTTGGCCAGAAATGGGTACTTGTCTGACTGATTACACTCTCATCAAGTGGTCGTTGTTATCTGTTCACTCGGTTGGGATTTTGAAAGTGCACTTTCTGCCTTAGCGCCTAAGGTTATATCTAGAAATACAAGACCGCGAGGACTAGCTTTTAAATCCCCAGAAATTTGAAGGGTCAGTTTCTCAGACTCATCACACCGACCAGGTGAAGCTAAGTGTACATCCAAACTTGAGTCATGTGTATCTCACAAGTACAACACACGTGCATGGCCTGAGATGCGAGACTTTTGATTATCAAAGCTTGTTAACTGATTTGATTGGAGGTGCGAACATTGAAAGTCCTGGTATTTAGTTTGGAGTGCAGTTTCAAAAGACCGGGGATGCTGTTCCGTGAATTCTGATCGTTATCAAGAACTGTATAATTGAAGGAGTATCACTGGCCTAGGGATATAATAAAAAGTTAGGAGGTAAATATAAGAAAGATTAATAGTAGTCTGAAAGAAATTGAATTCCGACAGTGGTAAAGGTAGTTGGCACTTCTCATCTACCCACTCTGTGGGAGGCTATTTCTCTTCGACGTACGTAAAAAAGGAGGGTTAGTGCGTTAATGCTGAGTTCAAAAGACCTTTTGCGGCGAAATGGAAATTTCGGATTTTAATTTGTTTTTACGGATTCAGATGTAAACGAGTACCGCTGGCTCTGGAATGCTGCAGGGTAGGCAGTAGTGTGCTATTTTACGGTCAAAAATTTTGTAACCTGTCCTTCCATTTAAGTGTTGGTTGTTCACGGGAATTAGCTTATTACTATCACATTCTGCACACTCACCAGTACAACTTAGCTCTTGAATATCCGTCACTATGTAGACTATTTGCACTATAGTTGTAACTGCTTTTCCTCTTATCCCTATCCAATAGACCTTTTAGATTGGATCAAATCTCAAGGAACCATTTTATAACCTAGCATAGCTTTTCGGGTCATTTTGGTAGCAACTCTTGGTCGGGGCATTCGCTTGGAACCATCCTTATGTTGTTTTCAAGAGTTTTTGAGTGTAAAGAGTTATTTCCGTATTTGGTAAACCTTTTGCCTAGTCGTAGAAGTCGTGAGGTAAAACAGAGTGTGGTTTTTAGTGTCAACCTTTCTCTATGAGACACTGAAGTGGTGACTTAAATATCGGAATTCAGTGACTGTATGTTTTATGTCACTTAGAGTGTAGTTCACTACGGTAGCCCAAATGTATTCGCAGAGGTATTACGTAGAAAACCAAGTTTTATCTAGTTGTGGAGGTACTTTATGATTATTCATATCTAACCACAAGTTATCTAAACGTGCAATTCGTTTTGTGTATTTATCATATTTTTTTTATAGTTGTAACGCTTAATTGAAGAAATGTAACACCAGTTTGAAACGATAATGTCTATTGTAAAACTGAATTGAGCAATTAAGAAGTTTAGCATATCTGTTTTTCATCTGTTCACGCAAGACAGTCATTTGACACGTAAAACTTTTTTCTATCATCTGCATCCTAATATATTACGTTGTCACGATCTTTTCTTGATCGACAGTATTACCCGATTTCTTCTGTCTTAAACTGTGTTGTCGTTGACAATCTCAAGACAGCACTGAAAGTGCAGAGTGGTGACATAGGCATGCAACATAATAAAAGATTTTTCAACTATGGTTATGCATATGATATCTTCTAAGTGTACGACAACATGCAGGCTACCCAAATTGCACTTAATCGGTTGGTGATCAGTGTCTTAAGGTATGGTATGTCTCTTCTACCGTATGTGTAAAGTAACTATATAATTAGAAGGAGGTTCTGCTTGCATTCATCCTTGGTGGTGAGTATAAGGGTAGTTGTTTGAATGCTGGGAGTGCGATGAGTGAAATTTCCAATTTTATTGAAAATCAGAGCATTATATTCAAATCCAGATTACATTTGGCGCCGTCGCATTGTTAACCTTTATGTAAATGGTAGGAACTTCACAGTATTGGTACAGGCAGTTCTACTGTGTGCCTATGAAACCTAGTATTGTGGCTGCCCGATGACTGCTTGTTCGATCATCGCTTTCTCCGGAAAATTGCTATCATCGACTTGAAACATTCTGTAAGGAGTTCTGAGTTCTAAGAGCCCGTGTTTAGGTGTGATCGAAACCCACCACTCATTGAGTGAGGTCATTTGACAACACCAGCTTCAGTAGCTTGTGTTTGAGATGGGGGTGTAGGATGCAGGAAACTTGTGTTGGTATCTCTCAACTCTCTGAATTAGGTTCATGAGATCGTGAAACTCAGTGGCTTGAGACAATATCAGACACGGCTAATGGTGGAAATCAATGGTAATTATGTTGCCGCTTTCTTGTTTCTTCCATTGCCAGAGGTAAGAAGTACTTCCTCAAATGTTCACTTGACAATGCTTCTTTAATAACCCAATTCGGTTTTTATTTTCGATACTTTTCTCGTTACCTTACCTCAATATCATTTTCATTTCTCCCTAATGTTTGTATGGTGCATCTCTTGTGTTCTAAACAAAAATTGATAAATACTATGCAGGGAAACTAAAACTTGAAGAGTAACAAAAAAAATATGAGAATTCATGTTCTCAGATCCAAATATTTACAATCATATCTCAATCGCATTCAGTCTACACGTTAATTATCTCTTCCCCATGTATATTTACCAAAATCGTATCCTTCGTTTCTTCCATCCTAATAAGTACACATAAGCAAATGCATAAATTAACTTTTTATTCATCTGTTCAAATGAATAACACAATTATCACGACTATGTATGTGAACAATACAAATCTGTACAACAAAATAATAATTGATAAATAAATCTTGAGATGGGGACAAAAAATGCCCAGATGAACACAATAACTCAAAATCCCAAGTAAACTACACCAGAGATAAAATATTTTCAAGTGGAAAGAGACTAGAAAGAAAAAGTAGACAAACCGAGGAAAATAAAGAAAATGAGTGTAAAGTAATCAATACTCGTGTTATCATTATTATCATTACGGTGTGTTTTTCTCTTCCCTATGATAAAACATCCGATGAATATGTTCCCATTGGCGGTTTATACAATCTTGGAAAGGATAACAGTTGAAGTCGATTGAAGGCATAAACTTGTTTGCGACTGCTTATTACGGCGTTTAACATCTTGATACTTTTAAGTACGATATCGGTTTGCAATATATCATTACGTATTATGATTTTCTTAAACCAGGAACCTTGTCATTTTGTTCGTTACACATATTTGATATTTTAGAGTCAATTCGAAGGAATTAGGATGTGTGTCCACCTGTTGGAATTCATCTTTTGAAGGGATTCTCTATTGGAAACAAAAAGTAGATTCACGAATAAAGCGTGGCTGTGGTTTGTCGTAATTGACAAATAGTCATTTCTTAGTTTTTTCTGAGCACTGGTGTCGGTTGAAAGGCAATATTCTGATTCTTTGTCGCTCTCCAGACAGAACAAGCAGTGAGGTCGCTGGTGTAATACTGTTGGAACGTTTCACTGTATCGCGTACTAGAGATGAAGAAATACCATACTCGTTTCGTTTAGGTGGGTTTCCATTTAAATATACCATAAATTGCTCAGATTTCGACTCCGGTGACAAATCTTTTGTGTTCATCGCTCGTTCAGAAGAGGAAGCAGAAAAATGGTGTCAGAATCTAAATAAGGCACAATTGGCACCTAGGTTACGTCGTTTCACTTTGCTTCGTGATGAAATACGAAAAATCACGGGGCCGATCCAATAGAGGCCGGATTTTCTAGTAGCTCAGTTACCCAATCAGTTCCTATTGAAGGTAAATGAATTACTGCTTAGTTTGGCAATATATTTGTATTTATTAGTAGTTACTTGATACATTATTTTTATTTCAGGTACTTTGGACGACCAGGGACTTGAAATAATATTGAGTAAGTCTTCTTTATTTAGAGATATTATTATCATGATATAGTACTGTAGAGTAACTATACACAGTGGTCGGTACGTCTCTCCTAATTATCTAGAGTCTCTATTCTTTTTTTCTTTTTAGCATAAATTGACTTCACAGTATGAAATCTTTCTGTTTATATGTCCAGTGTTTTTGTTGTTGGAACTTATTTATTTGTACTTTTAACAGTTCTGAATAGTTTCTGAAGATAAACAGTGAAATACGTTCTAAGCTAACTCAAAGGCCATTATTACTGACCGGAAGGCATCTGTAACTTACGTTATGTATGCAGTTGTTATCTTTCTCAATAGCAACCAAAACTTGCAATGCTATAATTTCAGGATTCGAATGGGTTTTATTGATTTGTTTCAAAAGATGCACCATATTTGTTATTTGATCTATTTGTGGTGTTAACATTTCAGATTCTGCACCTTTAAATCCGAGTCTAATATCTCAGATATACATCAAAAGTTAAAGAATTCACTTACTCGGGTGTATTTATTACATATGGTTTAGGTTTTTAAAAACTCGAGTAGCTTTTGTAATAAAAACGGACCATTTGACTAGTATCTCTACAAAGCAAAACAACCGGAGAACCCTTGAAAATGTGGGAGCACTGGACAACTGCGTCTTCTTAGTTTGAGATTCCTCATTAGTACATACTGATAACCCCATGAAGGATCGAACATGCAACTGTCGGGTTTTTTTGATGATCATAGTACCGTTGAGTCATTGGGTTGGAATACAGTGTTTCACTTTCTACAACTTTTGTCTGTTCATGAAAGGAGAAAACCACTATCCAAAGTTATTAATGGACTTCTGTCTTCATTCAGAACTTGCTTGAACAGAGCTTTGAGAAGTAAATCGCAAGCGAAGTCATTGATAAACGCTGACTAGTAATCAAATTAGGAGTTCTGTCAGGTAGATGTAAAAAAATCGAAGTAGGTTTTCACACAGAATATCACTTCAAATAGCCACATTTCACAGTAACATGCAAAGAAAACGTAGGTGGAAAGGGAAGCGATATCTAAAGTAGACAGAAGTGTATGAGGGGATAGGTAACCATAAAAAGAAAGTTGGTAATAAAGTGCGAACTTTCGAAGATATCAAGGAGTGAATGCATCTACACCATTGTGGTCGGTTGTCAACCATGTCCCCAAGGCTCCTCAACCATTGATTCTTATTATCTCAAGGATGGCGGCTAAACAATCTACATTTATCAACATTGGCTCAGACCAGCAGTCGTAAATGTAATGGACTGGTGTCATACGTTGATTTGACCACTGTGAGTGTACTTCCAACCAAATTCTACTTCAAACTACGTTGTACATCGAGATAGGCGGTAGCTTGGCACAGTCTTGTTTTCATAGGTAAGTTGTCTCGGTCGGGTGCTTTTTGTGCTTTAATATTTAAAGCTTTCCCTGGACCTAAGCTTCCCGAATTGAAACATTTTTAACTGACCGTGGGGCACAAAAACTGAGATTGGAGTTGATGGGGCAGTAAGCCAGCTTTTCGAAATGCTCCACCCAACGTCTTGAGCATATCTGAAGATTGTTGGTCGACATATCACTTACCTGACAGAACGTTTCACTAACACCAAGTTTTTACTGTTGGTGATTTGTATAAACTAGAACAGATTGCAAGCATTCACAGATATAGCTGCCGTTCTCATCTTGTGGCTGTGGCTCAGTGTCTTGGGGAGATGACTATCGACTACTGGATCGCCGGTTCGGATCCCGCTCCACCTACCGAGTTTTGGGCAGCCTGGTAGCATCACTAGCCCTCATACAATAGTTGTGGCTCATTGCCTACTGCACAGATGTGCACAACGTGGCTGAGTACATCCCTTTCGCCCGTTTACCGTTCCCACTTCACTCACGTTACTTGACCACTTGTGCATGATTTGTCGCACGCCTGTTTAGAACGACAATTTTGATGATGAATTCAGTAAATACTTGAGCATGATCAGAGTTCAGGCTGGTGTCCCAGTGAGAGCAGCAGTTCTGAGTGTGTTTGTGCCAATCGCAATGCCATGTATTTAAGTGCAAGCTTGAGAGGAGGTCTAGTAATTCAACGGTGATGGTTGTTCCAAAAGTTGCTGTGGGCTAAAAATTGGTTGTGAGCCAAACAAAGTATCAGAGATGGTCCCTGTTATCCAATCCGCAACGATCTAGTCGCCATTTCTTACCTGTAGGAGTTTCGTCCTGTTCTGGATGCCTGATCCGTGTATTCAGATCTTCATGTAGCGCTATGATATCTTTCGCGTTGAGTTGAGGTCACTCAATGCATGCTAGAAATTATTCTTGGTTGCACTCGGGCTACAATCTTTTGGAGGATAGCAGAGATGAAGAAGCGACATCATTTTCCTTCTTAGATACTTCTTATTCCAACCGAACGGAGCATTTGTGTGGCTATGTTTATCTAGAGAAAAGGAAGCTTTTTCTGTCTTGCCTTCTTATTGCTATCACATTCTCATTAGCCGATTAACATCTTTCTATTCTTTCCTTTATGAAATTGCTTGCGCTCAAATGTCTTATTTGGTAGTCATTAACAAGGTTTCAGTCGTTGCAAATTATTGAATGCAAGTTATATGTTTTACTTTTAGTTCTGTAGGTGTTAACCACTTATAACCATTTTTGCTGGGCGGGGTCGTATTGAGACATTCAAATTGTCCTCTGTTTGCTTATGATTACTATCCTACCATAATACATCAAGTGGCTTTGTAGGGATGAGGGGATGTTAGTTGTGTAACGCAGCAAAGGATATTTGTCTGTCGTTTTATGAACCAATGTTTGTTTATAAATTCTGTCTAACTGCTCGTTCATCCTTTTTTTATACTGAACTACTGTTTTGTTAATGTCAATATTATTTTATCATTAGGATGTCAGAATATTGGAGAAATCACCCATCCTAACGAGTTTCCTAACGCCTGTCTACTTGTCTCAGTATCATTTCCCCGTAAGAGCGATTGGACTGCAGTTGATGCAACCGAAGTAATTGAAGTATGTCTTTTCATTAATAAAGTTACATTTGACTTGATACTCATTATAAAGGTTTGCTTTCAGTTTTTATATGTAGGTAGGTAGCAGTTAGGAATTTCGTTCGCTAATGAAAGTGGACACCGTAAAAGACAAAAAGATTTTGAATAAGGTAACTTGGCCTTCCTTCAGTCTTCACAAGTTAGTCATCATTGTAATTCCACTATATTTTATAAAGGAAACTTCAGTAATTATGTCAGCTTTCTAACCAGCCTAAATTTATGACGTCTAGCGTCTATAACGCCTGATAATAACCACTTGTGGGCTACGACAGTGATGAAAGTGGTTTTCCGTTCAGTACTCATCTTTTTTTCAACTGATATTGATTTGTTCAGTTTAGAGGTTTGTGGAGACTATTTATTGATCTCAGGTTGGTATTCATCACGCACTGACATCATTTGAAGAACCATTAAAAACCTTGGTCCTCAGCAGGGCGTACTCATAACACCGCTAGGGACTGATCCCAGGACCTTCAGGTTCCCTGGTCAGCATGTTACCCCGGAGTCACTTGGTCGGAATCCAGTAAGTCACATTTTCCTACTTCTATCAGTTCACGATATAGTGTTTTTCATCCAATGCCGTCGTTGAGTAACTGCCCTGACGTCTACTTTGGCCTACATCACCGGGCATGACGTCTTATTAGAACTTCGGGCATCTCATCTCGAAGCAAGTCACTAGTGAGGACTAGAGTTGTTCAGTCTTCTGAACATTCAGGTTTATATGAAAGTGATTTTGATATATTTATTGAGCGCTGATTTGGTTGATTGGGAGCCTCTAACATCCGGTTGACGTAAGTCAATTTCACTAGTCACTATCCATTAACAGTAGTCATGCCTCATACGTGTAAATTACAACGCTACAATCCAAGTATTTAACTAACCTGGAATAAGTTATTTTAGTCAAATGAAATCGACTGACCTATTTCCAACTAACTAATTATTTTCTGATTGATAAGTATATAAAAGATATGTATAAACTGATCGACTGTGGCGCACCGAGAGAGATCCGATTTATCGCCCTACTTTTCCATCATATTCTAGTAATACAGTGATAAATGCAATTCAGTACACATGGGCAAATGCAACCTTTGTTAGGATATCTGACACATTCACTGTTCGGCTACCATTCATACTTCTTAACTGTCGCAATCTCTTTAAAATCGGAGTAGACTTCGATTTCATGACCCTACTACTGACAGTGGACCATCAAACCTGATAAACCCTATTTAATATGATTTATTCCGAGTTATAATATGTTCTTGCTCAGGTTAGCTTGAAAACTACGCGTGCTTAGGTATTTTTCATAACTTCGTACTCATAATATTTTGAATTACTTATTGTTCAGAAACTAGTTTTGTTATCAGTCTCACTTGGTAGTTCTTATAATGGATGTTGCTTTTTTGATGCCTTTATTGACTAAATAATGAATAATGGATTATTTAAGTCGTTTTCATAATGGATCGATAGTGCTATACAACTATTTCATCCTGGGTTTGGACTCATTAGGGGTGTGCACCCTCGACGCAATAAAAGGATGGAGTCCAGAGCTATTAGATCTCGTAGTAAGCACGTTATTCTTCAACCAATCAGGATCTAATGGTCGAATATGTAACTGTTGTTTAGAGAAACACAACCGACAATAGTAATCAGATGAGAAATAGTTTCAGCATACACCTTTTCCTCATGATTCAACTTCATTTCAGGCAATGATTTTCATATATCTTTGAGATATAGAACAGTTCATTTTGTGAATAACATCTTTGGAAACATTAGCATCCAGTTTATGTATGGTAGGGATTATCACACTTGTAATCCTAAAATTTTGTTATTAATTGCCTTTCACATCACGCCTGTTCATTAATCTGTTTATATTGTGCTTTTATAGTGACTACTGATGTACTTTTAACATACAAATAGAACTTTTTATACCTTATTATTATTCTGAAGAAAAAATCAACTAGTTCTGTGTACATTCATGATTTGACTGTGAAAGTATTCAACTTTCAATCGTGTTGAGGTATTTAGTCAGACCTACTGTTATTTATTATAGGATCTAATCTTGGAGTATAAGAATTGAAGTAAGGCATACAACTAAACTAACACAAGTATTTGGGATTAATAAACCAGTTAGATAGTTTGCTAACACAACCTAAGGAAATCCGAAATTGTTTTAGGATACACTTCATCTTGTTTAGTGAAATCACCACATGAGCAATGTTAAGGTCGGGCGACGGGTACTAGGCAAGAAACGCAAGTCAATTGATGTGCTCGTAAACCTTAGCCGACTGAGATGGCTTAGACACGTACTGCGCATGCCGAATCACTGCCTATTTCGACATATCATGTTAAGAGAAGTTGGATTAGATTGGAAGACGGTTCAGGGTGATGAGACCAAGAAATAGTACTAGTCGATGAAGTCGTTGACTGTTGACTGAATCCATGTGTGGAGATATAGACTGCTTGGATGGGGTCCCTAAGACGGAATAAAGAAGTGGTTGAAAACTCTTGGTGACATGGCTGAAAATCGGTGACAATGGCGCAGATGTATTCACTCCTTCAGATTTTCTAAAGCTTGAATATTTCCACTTACCTCCATCTTCAGATTGTTTATTGTCTCACAGAACTTTATCTACTTTGATACCACTCTTTTTCTATCCACTTGTTCTTTGTGTACTTTTGTGAAGTGTGGCAATTTGAGCCGAAGCACTCCGGTGCGAGATTCTATGTTGATTTTGTCAGTCAATTAATCAGTCAGTTATTTTTGTGTTCTAAAGGGTTACCTTCAGTTACCAACTATCTTTCATTTTTATTGTCTTTTCTTTCATTCAAACGGCAGCATTCCCGTAATCCGGCATTTTCAAAGACAATTTTTCTACATTCTGATTTAATAGAGGAGAATAATGAAATTCGATTCAGTTTATTTGATATTAAAGACGTCAAATCTAATGTGGTAAGTGTAGTTGGCTTTATTTCAAGTTGTTATTCATCGTAGACTGACATCAGTTGGAGGAACAAAGGAAACCTGGGAGCACTGGACAGCTGTTTCGTTCTAGTATGGGACTCCTCAGCAGTGCGCACCCACGACCCCACCAGCAGGGATCGAACCCATGACCTTCAGGCTCCGCGGCCAGCGCGTTACCATTGAGCCACTGGGTCAGAATCCATTGCTCCATATTTCCAACTTCTGTTAGCTCACGATAGTTGGTTTTGTTGTTCCTTGATTTTTCCATTTTTCAGATTTTTATTATTTTAGTAGTGTTGAAAGTTTTCAGGGTGAATTGACTTCAATCTATTGTTGTGCCATTTTATTGGTCGTAACTGCATGATTATTATTTACTTTGTCCGCGTGACTAGAAATTTCACACAGTGATCTAAGGACTTCTGTGCTAACTAGTAGGTTGAGCGTCTGTGAGCTTTGTTTATTTTTATTAGGTTAGTTTTTAGACCTTACACATGAAATATGGTACACAGTCTAGTTCATAAAGCTGTACATGATTGTTTACATACCTTCATCTATTTGTCGTCTCCACAATCCACCAGGAAAACAGTATGAAACAACCTGTGCTGAGTCATAGAAACCTGCATAGGAATGTAATTATGACAGTATCTTATATGAACTATGTCTACGCTAAAAATCATCTCACGTGTTGAACCAATTCTCAAATTTGCTGTTGACGTCTATAAGTGTGTACTATTACTTCAATGGCTCTATATAGAGAGTGATGGTTTGTAATTGTTCTCACTCTTTGTTCGCTTCCTGGATATTCTTTGAAAACATCTGAGTTATTGTAGTCCCTTAGGTGAATTTCATTGTTGGGTGTTGAAGCTGCAGAGGTTGAAGGTCATTAAGATTGGAATTGGTGATAACAACTGTTAGCACATTGCGCAGCAAAATATGATGTACCTCATGAACAATATCTTACCGCTTGCTTGAATCAACAGTTTTCAATAAATAAATTAAGCTAGCTTATCAAATGCATCTCTTATTTTGGCTCGAGCTTATCAGCAGCATATCCTTAGCTTCATTACTGGACAAAACCCTGCCAACAGCTGCTAACTTGACGTGGCGGTGGACTCGCATATTACAGTGATCCAAAATTCTATGGCATTTTAAAAAGTGGTTGCTCCATTGGATAGGGATAACATGGAAAGCAGTTACAGTCATCGTGCAAATGGTTCACACAGTGATGAAGGTCCAAAAGCAAAGTGGTTCTGGCGAATTTATGGTGTGTAACAGTAATAAAATGTTTCTCGCTGATGACAAACATTCCATGCTGTTGCTGCCTTTTCATATTGGAAGGAGAGGATACAAAATTGTCGACCTTAGGATAGCATACTGCTTCCTGGACTGCAGTCTCTTGATGGCATCTGGATTAGTTTTTTAATCCTGAAGAAAATATAACCAATTAAAGATTTCCCACAAAGAAAGAGGTGTTTGAGCGGCGTTGAGCGGATATCTTTTGGTCTCTGTAGTTATGCAAAAATGAGTCTTTTTTCCCTTCAGGTACCTCACGGAAACAGTTTCAAATGTGTGGAAAGTACCTGGAAACCGCACACTTCTACCAGTATGCAAATCCAACTAAACACAACCTACCTCTACACTCTTTATAATTTTGCCTTGAATTTCTGGTATCAACCTTAAGCTCATCGCAGTTTGCCTACCTTCTCATCCAGCAACCGTAATCAACGATTTAGGCCAGTGAAACACCATTCCTATTCTCTTGAAGTCAGGGTACCAATCTCTCCCTGGAGCTTTTAATTTTCAACTTTGTGATAAGTCGACTAATAGGCCTCACTTATTACAACTTTACAATCTGCAGTCATGGATAGGTGTATGTTGTGTTTTTGATATACTCAAACAAGTTTCAAGTCTACTTTCCCACTTGGTCTTGCCTCTTGAGTCTGCAAGATTCACCTGTCGAATTTCTGGCAATTCCTCAGCTAGTTCTCGTGATTTTGTGGGTACAGGTAAAGTCTTAAGTCCTAAACCTAAAAAGTGCAGTACTCGACTAGATCCCGGTTAATTATAACCTATCCAACTGTATGCGGTATTGAGCACCAAAAGGATTGATAAAATACGCCGTTGTCTTTTTGCAATCTTCGTGCTATTCGTTCACTGACCACATTTCAGATGAAGTGACATCCGCTGTCGGAAGTCAAACGTTTAGTTGTGGTTGTCGTAGCGAGCGACTTCAAACCATATCTAGATAGAGGTGCAGTGTTATACTTTGCTTGACAGTCTTATTTGGAACTCGTCAACTCCACGTGCCTGCATTTCAACGAGCGATGATGTTCCCGCTCGGACCGGAACGCAGCATCCATCACTTCAAATGCCGAATCTACGTCTTCTGGAGAGCTTAATGGACAATTCGAGGATACGAATTGCTGCTCCATGATTCATTTTCACCAGTACGTCGTTTAATAATAAGATGTGAAGTGGGTAAGCGTGGCTTACGTGGAAACAACAGAAATACTATTTACTGAATTCCATTATTGAAAAATTTCAGGGAATATTCTTCTATGGTTTAGTTAAGTTGTTTAGTTTAGAAATGAAGATCAGTACCTAGAATGATTCACTATTTCAACGTTTACTGAAAAGTCACAATGTTTTAGTTATATTTTTGTTAAGAAGCTGTTTCAGTTTCTTCTTCGTGATCAATGCTCTGGTAGGATATTGAAGTCTCAATACTGGTACCGTAGCTACCAGTATTCTGGATGAAATCTTGTTTTTCTTATCGTTATTTTTGTAAATTAGTGTCATCATGTATTGTGGAAATGTGGCTTAATGGCTTTAACATTCGACTTTCAAACAATGAATAGCTGGTTCATATTACACTCCACTTTTCAATCTAAACAACCAGTCAGTGTTATAAATGCTCATACAACAAGTGTGGCTCATAATATACCATGTGGTCATGCATGAAGTTGATGTATATGCGCTTCAATATCAGTAGTTGTATTCCAGGAGTCAGCTGCTTATTAGATGTCTGTACCTTCTGTTTTAATAAATATTTCTTTACAAATTTTTTCTTGTTGTATCCTTATTTGAGTTGACTCTATCACCGAAAAATCACCTTAATGTGTATATTTTTATTGATTAGAGTGTTTTAATTGGCGAGACAACAACATCGATGAAAGAACTGTTGAATAATTCCTCTCTGTCATTGCCGATCCGTGATGAATGTTCCAGTACATCTATACAGTGTACAAACTCAGATTCTATTCCATTAATCTTTATACAATCAAGAAAACAAAAACCATTAAATTCTACAATGGCTAGGGTAAAGTCTTTTTGTTGTTGAAACTAACTTGACGTGATTTATTATCATTTTGTTTTTTACTTTTTTAAATTTTTCTCCTCCCTTGGTTGGCATTAAACTAAAATCAAATGTGAAATTTGGTATGCTTTGAGCGTAGTATTGCATTTGCCAAAATCGATAAACAAAATCAAAGTTGCCACACTTCACACCAGCATGCAAAGAAAAAGTAGGTAGAAAGGTAGCGATATTTAAAGCAGACAAACGTGTAATGGAGAAAAAATAATTTGAAACTTTAAAAGACATGACAGAGTGATCATTTTCTAGCCATGACACCAAGATTCTCCAACTGTAGATTCCTGTGATTTCGAAGACACTATCCAAGCAGTCTGCACCTGCGTACATGGCTCAGACCAACAGCCAAATGCTTCGTGGACTGGTGTCACGTCTTGATCTAGTCATCCTGAACCTTCTTGCAACCCGATACTACTCCAACTAAAATTGTACATCGAGGTGAGGGATGGGTTGAACATGTGTCGCCTACGTGTTAGTACGTGCATGTGTATACCTGCACGTAACTGTTCTCAGGAAAAAGTCCACAGTTGAGCCTGTGCATGCCAGGTTGGAAGATGAAAGAAATCTAGTACGTGTATAGAGTGGATATAGCTAAACACTTATTTGAACGTGATAGGAATCTTGCTCCTGAGTAAACTTGATGCGCTGGTCAGTTTGTTGTAGAAATAGCGGTAAAGACAGTTGGTAACCTACATCCAAAGGTCAGAAAATGTCAATAGTTTTCTGCAATGTCATCCGAATTGATTAGTGCGAGAAGACTGATTCCAGCTGCCCTGACAACAATGAGAAATGAAAGCAGCTGAAACGGAAATTAACCAAGATTCTTCACAATGATCGAGAGCGGTTGTAATTGGTGAAGTCGAGAGAGACAGAGAAGGCATCATTAGGTATAATGCATGCCAATTATTTAGACTTTTTAAGGATAATGGTAAGAAAGAGACAATGGTTAGTTAGGCCATCGCCGAACAGGATGCGTTCCTGATGGCCTCTCAGAACAGGTGACTAGAATTTTGGGCGGGACATTTTGGTACCCAGTTCAGCTAGCCCACAGAAATCCTTCATTTACCCAGCACCCATCATGCATCTGAATGGGACGTAGATGTTGGTCCTCCAACTCTTCTTGAAGTTGAGCAGGCTGGTTTGAACCTGAAACGATACAAAGCTGTAGGGCTTGACTGTTGACCGGTAGGAAATTACTGAATAGAGTAGGGGAGGTAAGAGGTAGTGTATGGGAATCAGACATAGTCCTATCAGACTGATATGATTCAGTGATAGTGGAGCTGTGACTTAGTGGTTTAGGCAGGTGACTACCAACTACTGGGTCACGGATTGTAGCCCTGCTCCACCTACCGAGGTTTTGGCAGCCAGATTATATCACTAGCCCCCGTACAATAAGTGTGGCTCACTGCCTACTTCACGGATGTGCACAAGATGGCTGAGTGCATTTCGTTCTTTCATTTTTTCAATGATGATTCCAGTCTGTGAGGAACAAAAGAAGTCTTGTGACGAAATAGGGAGATCGATTTGGCTAATATGTCCGAGATCATTGGGTCTGTAGTTATCTGACGCTTAACTGGATCTCGAGAACAAGAAACTCAATATAGTCAGGCAGGATTCAAACGTGAACCAGGTTGCCAGTGATCAAGTCTCTACCCATTGTCAGCTCCGGAAACAGTCATTCCTATCGATAGCGTTTTAATAATGCCTGACTGTGGAGGGAGTAGCGGAAAGGTATGTAATGGTACACAAACTCTTTACTTGAATTCATGCAGTCATGTGAGGGCTTATGTGTGGAGTTGTCATCTACCACTTGACGTTTCACTTGACCCCATCGTACCAAATTTCAACAGGAATAATGCTAGTGGACGTTCTTGACGAACACCACTGTTTGTCACCATGTCATTTTTCTATGGCTTTTAAACTAATGGTTTTTAACATGCTTTGGATAAAAACCACTAAGATTATATTTCTCTAGTTGACTCACATTACTCGCTTCAGTGGTGGTAATTGAGCTGTTACACTGGTCTTCGGACAGCTAATACAGCTTAGTTCATTTTTCTCTATATCAGCATCTAGCTGCTCTTTTATTATTATTATTATCTTTATTCTAAATTGCGTTAGGGATGAGCTTTATGTGGTTCCTTTATTTTCAGGTCGATGCTAATATATTGTCACTGCGTTCAGTGTGCGATAATCTGCTTTCTAAGCGGTATACCTTTCAAGATACAATGGGTGAGGCAATGCATGTTATTGAATTCATGGGAGAATCAAAGCTATGCTACGACTTTCCAATAGAATATTTGTACGTTATTTTCGCAACAACATTTATTTGTCCTTGGTTTTCTCAGTTTTCGTTATACGATAGGTTTACATTTTTGATTTGACTTCGTAGTTTTTGAGTGGTTGTAAGCAATCCGTAAGAAGTTCTATGCTGCAGTTTGTTTATTTTTATCTAATGATTTGCTGCTGCATGTTTTTTCCCGGTGGTTATGAAATAAATTTAGGGTCTGCTGGAGTTTGTATCCAACTAGTCACATTTGGTTCGAGCCCTTCGGTTCATCATTTATATTGCAAAGCTATTCCGATGAAGTTACTCTTACACCTGGGGATTCTTTAAAGACAAAGTGACTCTTTTATTAACAAATCTTAAGTCTAGCGTTTGGTTTTAGTTGCTCTGTAAAATCCAAGCCGAGCGACGTGTTAACCCTCAGAAGTCTGGAACAAAAATACTATGCTTTATGACTAGATAATTATTATCATTTTGACTATCTAAGGTAGCCGTGGTTTGGGGGACTAGTATTGATACTGTGTGGTAATTCAAGTAAAATAAGAATCTGGTCAGCAATCGGACCTCGTAGCTCAGTTGGTAAGGCATCGGGTGAGAAACCTGGTGGTCGCTGGTTCGAATTTGGCCGTGGTCCGAATTTTCATTTCACTTTCAATCATCACCTAGTATTCAGATAGTGATAATAATAACAATAATGATAGTAATAATAAAAAAAATAAAATAGTGTACGAAAATGTGCAATCAGAAGTTTTGTCAGTAAACAAACAAACTGACCAAATCATCAAGATTCGTCAATACAAATCAATTAAAGAGATCTGTTTCTGTGCATTTGTCTCCTATCACTTCCTAGAAGTGTTATTATAATCACCGAGATTACGATTATTTCCATCGTGAATGTTTAGTTCGTTTTTTTGTGTCCATTTATCACCTTGTATTTAGGGATTTGTGCAGCTATATTATATTACTGGAAACTTATTTTCTTCAGATAGTAGTGTAGAGTTATTGCAGTTTTATTCGTAAAGATTTCTTGTTTTGTATTCATTATATATCTATTCGTCTGGCAACTTGCAATCGTCACAGAGCACATATTGTCTCATCAAGTGTTAGTATTAAGGTTTCGCTGAATTGTTACAGCGGCTATCGTTGAATGAACATTTTTTTTTTGTGTGTGTGTGTGCATAATTTCTGTTACAGATTGAGGTATATTATCAGTAGATTAATTTTAATTAAAAGCGTTCCCCCCCCCATATTTACACTTCTTATTTACCTCCTTTTATATATAGAAAATCGTTAATTCAGTCAGAATACTTGATATACGATTCGTTATCCAGGACGGGATCAGTAAGTTTCAATTGTTTACCGTTCTTAAGTAGATCTTGATGAAGATATGGAACTGTTGAATGCTTCAGTTTCTTTCTCATATTAGATTCCGTAGAATTATTTTTAAGCAAACTCTATGTCTACTTTCTTATCACCTTCTTTGATTCTTACATATACAGGTGTGTCTTACTACTCATCTATTGAAGAAAGATAGTCATAACAATAATGATTAATGTATATTTAAGTGGTTTGTAACCTTTTATTTAGTTCTAATGACTATTCGGATTCATGGGATCAATTATTTATGTTTTCATAGTTAATACAAAGGACTTATAAACTACAATAATCACCAGTATAGTTTTTATGAATAATGTTTATATCTTTTGGTGTCAACTTTCATATTCGTGTATTTCTTTTAAAATCCAATTTGGAGATTTATAGGCATTGATTGATTTCAGGTTGGTATTCACCACAAACTGACATCAATTGGAGAACCATTGGGACCTTTGGAGGACTTAACAGCCGTTTCGTTTTATACTATTTCTCCAATTTGAAATCAGTTAAAATTTCTGAACTGCCTAGATGACTAGTTCAGTATCTTGTGTATCTTTCAACACTTTAACTAAATAACTTGATAGGATATTTTGTTAAATAGGAAGGAAAAATCTGAGGATCAGATGGCCAGAAAGAATGAGCAACAAGGAACTCTGGCAACGAACCAACCAAGAGCCCATGGCCTAAAAAATATACAGAAGAAAGTTGAAATGGATTGGATTGGGCATACACTGAAAAGACCGATTGGGGATATCACATACCAGGTCGTCGAGTGGATCCCAGATGGGAACTGGCGAGTTGGGCGTCCGAGGGTGACATGGAGGAGATCGTGTGAGGAAGAAATGAGAGCTTGTGGTCAGTAGATGAGCTAGGTTGAGAAGACTGCAGAGAACAGAGCTCAGTGGAGGCGCGCTACTGAAGCCCTATGTTCCACTAGAACCCAAGAGACAAATAATAATATAATAAAGAAGGAAAATGATTTCCTATTTTCGTGTTTGTCGCCTTATTTGTCCTATTATATATTCCGGAAGTGACATAATACACACGCAGGCAAGAGCCGCCGATTCCGACCAAGACGCAACAGGTAAGAAGATTGAACTGGATGGTAGAGTTTATTCCTTCGAGAAGAATGGTCAATTAACCCAAAACACGTGATATGTAACTTTGTCTAGAATTTGAAACTTTCACATAGTAAAAGTAAGCATTAACCAATCAGTGAATGACCTTGAATATGGATTAGAAAATGAACTACTGGCTGTGCCGTAAAAATGATGCAAAAACAACATTTTAAAAATGTCCAGATCAATAAACTATTTTCTGCGGATTTAGGGCCTTCCAACTTATCCCTAATACAAGAAGCTACTATTTCATTGGTCGTTGATTTATTTGGTGACAATGTGTTCACTTCGAAAGATATCTTGTTGACATACAAAGGTTTAATGTAAGCCTACTGCAGTTGAGTTGATATCCAAACTATATTGTAGTCTTTTAAGACCTTTGTGTTTGAATGTTTCATGGAGCTTATGAAAATAGCTGAAACTGATGGTTGTGTATAAACATTCCTCTCTTAAATGTCTGCTCTCCAGTACAAAAATATTCTGAAAGTATATTTTGGAAGCTAAATAATATGACAGTCTAACTTATTGTTGATAAATGACATTTGTACATGCGACGCTGAATTTCATATGTTGAGTAATACATCGATATGTTTGTTAAAAGTGAAGTGAATTGAGATCTTTCGTAATCATCAGAACACTATATCACTAACTGAATTTACGGATTGGTAGTGAATAGCTTCTCATTGTTTACTATATAAAGGTGTATCAATTTTGTTTCCTATAACTGTTTCTCACTAATTTTGTGTTTTAAATGGAAAAAAGTGGCTAAGGTAGTTTCATTTGTCGAATACAGTTAAATGTAAGGCAGTTTTTGCGATTCTATACGTCAAGACCTACAAATGTCAGTATGTTATTTGCCGTGTAATAATCAGAAGGACATGAAAATTTTTTATATCAAAATCTGAGTACTAATATTAGGGTACCCCGGGGTGCACTGTTATATCCTTTTAGCAACTTATGCATGCATATCCTCTTACAAGGTTTATTAAAAAGGATTTTAGAGCTGTCATAAATCCTATCTGGTCTCATTTTATGAATCATTTTCCCAGAGTACAGAGTAAATCTGTTGTCTTTGCTACCACTCACAAGATGATTGAGTCACTCACTTCAAGTGGTACAATTAAAAATCTTGACACTCAGTTTGTATGTAGAGAAACAGTTGCTAGATCTGTCAAAACATCATTTTTTTCTTTCACTGATTCCAAGAAGAAATCATCAGTTTTGTGTGAATTACTACTGCTATTTTTCTCTCTTTTTTTATACGTTTTGCTTCTTTTATCATAATAGTTGTGTTAATTCTTGTGAAATATGTTGTGACATGAATTTAATCTGTAAAATGGTTAATCGACTATAGGTATAGCCGTTTTTCTTGAAGATTTATACAATAGTTTCTAGGGAAAATCTTGAATTTGATCTTCAAATAGTTCAAAGAAAGTACTCATTTGACTCTATAACGCATTGGAATAGTGCTTATCATTGAGGCCTTCAGTTCATAAAATAAAGTAGTTTATGACTAATCAACACTTGGGATGTCGTTTACAGTTGTATGCCACTAGTACGAAAGATAGTTACGGAGGCAAAGGATGAGATAGAGTTGAAGAGGATAGGCTACATTTGATTAGGTATTGTACCCTACTGGAAGCGTGTGGGCGGTTGATACTTCCTTGCTGTCTGCACCGTGGAAGGCTATTTCTTCTTAAGGTACCTGAAAGAGAAAACGATTTGTTTGACTGCAGAGCCCTTGGGATATCTGCTTGAGGCTTGTAGCACACAGCCTTCTATGGGTTGTTGTTTTGAGGTTTGGTTGTTCAAACGCTCGCTAGAGAGAACCCATACCACCGACACCGCAGAAGCGTGCTATTTTTGGGACTATCTTTTCCAACCCTCGTTCCGTCTGGGCAGGGAGTATTAGCGTGGCACTACTGGTCATCCAGCTAGATACAGTACGACTTCGCTTTCAGATCGCCATCATGGTGTAGTAATTTACATTACAACGGTAACTGCTTTTACGTCTTACCACTATCCAACAGACCTTTCTAGGATGTTCTGTACGCTGTTTTAAATCGCACCTCATTAGTCTACCAGTGTATTTACTTATCGTTCTTATAGTAATAACCATCTATATTTTCAAGATATTATACACTTGAAGGCAGTGTGTTTAATGTGATTTATAACACCTTTGCTCATTGCGTATAATTCGAACATATATATGTTGGATAGTTGGCTCTGTTTATGTCATCTGATAGCAGTAACAGTTTACATGTGTTACCTTTTCAATTTCCAGTTCAGTTGGTTGCTATGGCTCGTAACAATGTTTTTATTTTTATTTTCCTTACGTTTACACTGGTAATGAACATTAGTAGTAGACTATAATAATGTAGTTTAGCTTGTTTATTGACATCATGTCGAATACTTTCTGACTATATCAAGTTCACGTTCAAATACATGCAAAAAATATAAGTGATATATACAACATCTCTGTTTTAAGGTTGTATGTATAAATATACTGTAACTGGATCAAGTGACTCATTTCGGATTTAGTTTTATTTTTTTTCGCGTGATTAACTTCACATATAGACCTGACTTTTGTGTGTCAGTAATCCATATAAAATGATAAGGCAGTGGCTAATCATATGAATCTCGTATTGGCAATATAGATGGTTACTATCGTTTTAATTGTGTGGTTATTAGCAGTTGAATCCATACAATTGTGAGAATTAAAAAAAACAAACTCTTAGTGTATAATAACTTACGAATTAGAAATCAGTCATCCAATGATTGATTCCTTCCATTTACAAGGCCCCCATTCAGGCAACATACACCTTCCTAAACTTTTCAGATTAGAAATTTTATGTAGTAGTGCCACGTGTTGGTTTGGTCTCTCTAAATCTTCTTCCATTCCAGTCCTTCTTCAACTGACATTACTCGTCGGGACAGGCAGCTGTTTGAACATATATGAACACGTGAATAAAATAAGTGATATCAAAGTAGACGAAGTTGTGTGAGAGAATAAGCTATTTGGAGATAATGGTTAGTGAAAATATTCAAGCTTTAAGAGGTATGAAGGGGTGCATACATCTGTGCCATTGTGACTGATTCTCAATCATGTCACCAAGATTCCTCAAACTGCTGATTTTTTTCATCTTGGAGACCCTAACCGGACAGTCTACATCTCCTCACAGTAAGTGACTTCATCAATTGGCGCCAGGCTAATTCAGCTTCTCTTTGCATTGCACGTCTACGTAGACGGTGGCTGTCCTTGCGCAGTACATGTCCAAGCCATCTCAGTCGACTAAGGTTCATAACCTCCCTCATCAGTCGACTTGTTTGTCCTGCCTGGTACTCTTCCTCTAACCTAAACATTACTCATACAGTGGTTCCACCACACGCGAGCAATGCTACAAAGACACCTATGATGCAAATCTTGTAACCGCTTCATATCTTCTACTTTTAACGGCCATGTATGACAGCTGTATAACAGGAGATAACGAACTGCAACGCAGTGTACTCGGCTTATGATAGACAGTTCGATATCCCGTCAGTTGGCGCCAGAGATGATTTAAGTTAGCAGATACCAAGCGGCCCTTCTGTTTTAGAACTGAGATTTCGCCCGTTCGGGTTGATGCAACTCCCTTAGTAAGTTAGGTGGTTGAAACGTTTCACCACTTGATTCCTTATCATTAAACTGCTAGTACTTGCAGCAGACCAGTCCTACAGCATCATCTTACAGTTCACAAGTGCGAAACGCATGCCAAAGATACACAGATTTATGCTCAAGGCGTTCAGAAGACCCTTAATTTTGTCAGTCGCTTCACCTAGCATGACAATATCACTTGCATACTCGAAGTCAACCAAGTGACTAAAAGGGAGTAGGTCAATCCCTGTGAAGTCAGACCTACGTAAGGTTATGTCCATTGGTGGGTTTGAACAAGTTAAACAGGAACAGTGAAGTAACAAAGTGATGTTCTTCACAATTTTTGAACTTTTATTCTCGTTGAGCTGCAAGTTCTGCCAGATACCTTGGTCATTTATGATATGCTTTGAGAAAGTTATTTTTGAAGTTCAATGAAGTTTCGATTCGTGGTCAGATAATAATCACTTTCGTTGTTTCACTCGCCGTTTGACAAACTGATAAGTGTTAAAAGTGTGCTCTGATCATCAAATTTCAACTCACTTATCACTCACTTATGGTGATATGCTTGTCACAAGCGTGAACATCTTCAAGCTTTAACGCAAAGAAGGATAGTTATCTTTCGTTCATTTTTTCTCAGCTAAGTTGAATTCATGATTATAACCATATTGTATTTCTCTTGAAGATAAATGCATTTTTTCCTTTGTAATCTAACCGAAAAATGAACAATATGTTTTTTTGTTTATAAAAGGGTTTCTGTATTGTATTTTCATTTTTCTTCAGTCAAAACCTGTCCTTGAAAGCTTACGAAAAGAGAGGTTGATAAGCATGAAGCAAACATTAGAACGATATGAAGCTAATCTAAGGAATCTAGTGGATTATTCCGGTGCGTAAAATAAAGTTTTTACTGTTCAATACTGCATTATCGATAATTGTTTTTATAGTCATTCTACTTAACTTATCGATTTATCAAAGATGTGTAGACTGTGTTCGTCTTTCATGTATAATCTGGTTTCCTTTCCATCGTCGGTAACATCTTGTCGTAAGCAGAGGATAAAAGAGTTTTTTTAATGATTATTGTGATTAATGTAGAGAGTTGTGTGTTTAGTAGCTTATATTTGAAGAAGGCCCTAGTAACCAGATAGTTTAACTCAGAATTCAGTTACATGAACATTATTATTATTAGTTTTCCCTTGGGTTTCTAGTGGAACATAGGGCTTCAGTAGCACGCCTCCATTTCACTTTGTTCTCTGCAGTCTTCTAAATCTGGCTCCACGACTGCCCACAAGCCTTCATTTCTTCCTCACACGATCTCCTCCATGTCGCCCTCAGCTGGGACGCCCAACTTGTTTCCCCTCTGGATTCCACTCGACAGCTTGGCCTGACGCGTGATGTCCCCGAATGGTTTTCTCAGTGTATACCCAATCCAATCCATCTCCACTTCCTTCTGGATATTCGTTGGAAGGATAGGTTGTTGGTTGGTTCGTTGCCAGAGTTCCTTGTTGCTTATTCTTTCTGGCCATCTGATCTGATCTTCAGTATGGAGTGGGCGTAGGCAGCTGTTGATGAATGTCTGTAGTTTGTTGGAAACGCTTTTCGTGACACTCCAAGTTTCTGAACCATATAGAAGCACTGACTTGACTGGATTGGTGTTGGAAATCTGGATCTTGTTCTTTGTGCTGAGTGGAGTAGATCTCCACACTGATTTCAGATTAGTGAAAGGTTGTCTTGTTGACTTTCCGACCCTGGTTTTGACATCCTCGTCTGTGCCGCATGTAGTTGAAACGATGCTGTCCAGCCTAGGTAGGTGAAAGAGACAACTTCTTTTAGGTTTGTCCTGTTAATGGTGATTGGTGCTTGTTGTTGATGCTGTTGTTGGTTGAGTATCTTCATCACCTCTGTCTTCTCTACATTCACTTTAGGTTCCGTTTTCGCTGCCCTACCTCTTATGTCAACTTGTTAGTTTTCGCCTGTAGATCTTCTAGTTTGTGCAACGTTAAACATAAATCATCGGGGAAATCCAAATCTTCTTCTGGGATCTTTTCATCGGTCCAGCCAGCGTATGCCCATCTTCTCGCTCCTCACTGTTTCCTGCATGATCCAGTCGACCACAATCAGGAAGATCATGGGTGATAATTGGCAGCCTTATCATACTTCTGTCTTCACTTCAAAGTCGTCACTGAGCTTTGCATTATGGATCACTGGGCATGTAGCATTCTACAGCATATTGCTGTTGAATGAGATTCAAAGCGGTTGGTGGTATTCCGTAGTGTTGAAGCAGCTGCCTGCCAAATTACTTCTCGGTCGACGCTGTCGAAGGCCTTTTCAAAATCGATGAAGTTGAGATAAGGTAGAGAGTTGACTGCCATTCTATACTCTGTTCTTTGATTATGCCTAGCGTTTCAATTTGATCGGCACATGACTTGTCCTTCCTGAAGACAGTCAACCAGCCTGTTCCGGTAGTAATTTTGAATTCAGCGCATCCTTTAGTCTCTCCATGATGCTGCGGTGTAATATTTTGCTTGGGATGGACAGCATGATTCCGCGCCAGTTTTTGCAAAGGCTTAGGTCTCCTTTCTTTCGCAGTTTGACAAGGTAGCCCTTCTTCCAACTGATCGGCAGGTACCTTTCCTTCCTTCCTTGTAAACCTTCTGCAGTAGTGGTGAGAGCATATCCAGTGTTGTCTCTGCGTCTGTTTTCAGTGCTTCTGGTAGAATTCCATATGGTCCTGCTGCTTACCCGGATTTCAGCGACTTCATGGTGTTCAGGACTTCTGCTTTTGTCGGAGAACCTGTGTTCACTTGTAGTTCTGCCGTTGCTGTTGGTCTTTTCGGACGAGTTGCAGGTGGTAGTCGATTCAAGAGTTTTTTGAAGTGGTCAGCCCATTGTTTCCTTTGTTTCTCCTCTTTGGCGGTAACTAGGTTTCCTTCACTATCTTTCATTGGTTTCGTTTGCGTTGATCTCTTCCTGGATAGTAACCTGGTTATTTGATATAGTGTTATCAGGTCTCTGTCTCACTTACCTACAACCTGTTGTGCTTCACTTGGCAGTATGTTGTAGAAGTGTCTTTTATCTTTGTGTGCACTCTTCTTCACTTCTTTATCTAATGTTTTATACGTTGTACTCAGTTCTACTTTTTGTTATGCATCATTGCACTGGTTCATCTTCTGCTTCACCATCGGCATCTTCCTCTCCCTGATCTATCAGCTTCCATGTGTCTGTGAAGATCCATTTCTTGTCTTGTTTCCTCTTTTTCCCTAATACGCTTATGCAGGTTTCCTTCCACGTCACATCACTTTCAAAGAGTTTCAGTGTTCTTCCACGCCTGATCCTTCAGGGATGTTGCTCAATGTCTCCCATTTTGTTCTGATGGCTGACGACGTGAAGATGTCCTTTGTAGTTTTGTCCTTCAGTTTCTGTTCTGTGTGTTGAACTTGAACTGTGGTCGTCTAGCACCAATTTGTTTGAATGCTTTCAACTTGATTTAGAAGGTAGGTTCCTTGCACTAGGTGGTGAGTGGTGTGAACCTACCTGCATCTGCTCCTGTTGTTGATCTTGTGTCCAGTAGGTTGGCTGCGTCTCCACTTTTTTCAGATTGAGATGAAGTCGATCTGATTTTTAGTGTGTCTGGTGTCTGGTGAAATCCATGTTGCTTTGTGGGTATCCTTGTGCTTGAACGCAGTGCTTCCAATCACCAAATTGTTGATTGGGCAGAATTCTGCAAACAATTTTCCATTCTGGTTCATTTCACCGAGTGCTTCTCGACCCATGATGAGCTTTCTTGGTGTGTTGTCTGCTCCGAGTTTGGCATTGATGTTACCCATTAGAATTTTGATGTCGTTAACTGGAGTCTTATCTAGACTTGCTCCTTCTGCTTGTGATCTGCATTATTTGTGGGTGCATAGTAATGTGATTGTATGGTTGTGACTTTCCTTCTTTTTGATTTGAATCTTGCTGTCATGATCCTGATTGTGGAGGAGATTGGTTACCATTGCATGGGGGCCTTCGATGCTGTTGGGGACATCATAATAGCCCCTCTAAACCCTAGTGTGCTCGTGGTTGTCGTCTGGGTGACAGTATCGGTGTAGATTATTGACTGTCCAGTTGAGAGTTTGGAGAATCGACTTCCATTCTATCTGGTTTTGCAGATTCCAAGCACTTCCATGCCATACCTTCTCATGTTTTGCAATCTGGGCAGCTTTGGTAGGTTTATACATGGTGCGGACATTCTATGTCCTCATCCTTACTTTCGCTTTGTTCGAGAGGAGACATATCGGCCGACTGGCTTCTCTGAAGCTTTCACCAACCGGCGTTATTTCGTCTTTCCGATTCCAGGGAGGAATAATTTTGTTTTTATTTTTTATATTTTGTTTGTGCTTTGAAGTTTCTTTAGGGATTGGATTAGTTTTCTGGGTTAGGGTTGCCAGCTGTGTGCCCAACCTTCCCTGTATGCCTGGGCTTAGGACCGTCTAGTAACTAGTGAACTAGTTAACCAGGCGAGGTTTCATTTATTTTTTCCTTAGGTTTTCTCAGTGAATCGAATATTTTAATAATCAACACACCCATATTTCCTATTTCGCTATCACTTTCATTGTTCTACAAGTCTCCTATTCTAACTTCTTGCGTGTACTGTATCGCGTGTGACCTTAAAATCAAGATTTCATTCAGTCTGTAGCCTAAGGAAGTGTGTATTGCTTGTAAATTTTGAGATGAAATGAATGCTTATCTTTTATGGAGATTATGATCATTTAGCTTGATGAATTAACTTGGGGACTTCACTTTCAAACAGTATCAGGTTGAATATTCTATCCATATACCTTGACCCGGTAGTAATAATTTAATAAGTTTATGATAAGTCAACTCTACTGGGATTTACTAACTCAGAACGAAGGATATGCATTATGTTTGTCATCTTAGACAGATGGACAGACAAAATCAGCATAGAACCTCGCACACTAGTTCATGGGTTCAAGTTGCCATACTTCACAGTACAGGTGAGTAGAAAAGGAGTGGTATCAAAGTAGATAAAGTTTTGTGAGACAACAAACAATCTGAAGATGGAGGTAAGTGGAAATATTCAAGCTTTAAAAAATCTGAAGGAGTGAATACATCTGCGCCATTGTCACTGATTTTCAGCCATGTCACCAAGAGTTTGCAACCACTTATTTATTCCAGCAGTTAGACACTTTGTCTGGACACCTCCAGCTGTTATACTTATCCTTTCGAATACCAAATCTTCTAACCTCTAAAATATGTCTTTGGAATCATTATTCAATTTGGTATTCTAATTTCCGTCCATTTATTAACACCCATTTGGTGTGAAGATCAGTTGATAACTAACTATGGATCAATGAAATGTCTAATTTATGTTTTCTTTGCATTATTCAGGTCCTCGCTTCAAACCATCTACTGAACGTGCTAATCCTCGATATGATTTCGTTCCAATCAATCTTCATGTTAATCAAATAGCTCTTACGAATGCTGATGGACAGCTAGGTAAGAGTAATGCGCATATCCATATTTGTGGTTATCAGACTTTCAGTTTTAATCTCAGGTTATGCCTCAGATTGTTATGTGAAACCTTTCCGTGGACTTCATATCCTGTCAATGGTCACCAGATTATCTATTCACTAGTTTGCCGTTTAAGCTTTGTGACTCGACTGTTAACCGGACTTTTCTGATGAGAATTGTAACTCATATGCGTTAATGTTGATCATGGTATTTTATAACTTATGAGTAGTTTTCCTTCATGTTATTGGTTGCATAGCGACCTCATACTTTATGTTCGTTTCACATTCGTATTTAACTAAACACTTGTGTGTTAGTTAATATATCGTGTATTTTATCCGCTACATAGACGCTCTGTGTACTGAAAATTCGTCTTCAATTAGAGGGGAAACAGCAGTTTTAGCAGAATAAAATGCACCCTTTTTTCTTCGGTTTTTCTCATCAACTACTTAAAAAATGGTCTAAAAGTATATGGTAAGCTTCAAGCTTCACAGCTGAATTTTACTTGAATTTTTTCTCCTTAACGTTGGTTTCGTTTGGTCTTCAAAAAAACTTATCGTAGAAATTGGCTGGTGTCAATGATGAGTGCTTATCAATATGTCGCCTACAGACAGGTTACTTTTTACTCATATGTTCCTCAAGTTTATTTATTCCGAGTTATAAATGGTTATTGTTATGGTCGTTATCCTGTTGGTCAATCATTTCAACGTGTTTGTACTTGGCAGTGATTAGATGTGATCACCTAAACGTGTGTGCTGATGCTGTACAACTCAGTACCAGTATGCAGATTTACGGATTAAGCTATAAGCAGCAACAAATTGTGCATAGGTTAGTAATACTACCTACCATGCGTGGACGGAGCTCTAGTTATCATATAGATGCTTCGTCTTCTCTCTTATGATTTGAAATAATGGAGAATATTTATAGCTCAGGTGGATGGTCTAACTTCATACTTAATTTAGTGATGATGTTGTCTAGCAAGACGATGAAAGCTTCGTGATTAAGCAACCCAGCTCGGAGAACACATATACAACCAAGATCGGCTTCTCTCTTCCTGCTTTCTTGGTGTCTATCGTTTTTTCTTAGAATACTTTAATGACTTGAAACGATGCAGTGCTATATCAAGTCACTTATTTGGACATTAAATGCGGGTATAATGAGAATGAATTTATCAGATCTTAAGAATTTATTTACTCTTTAGTTACGCTGCTTTACTGTTTTTAGATTACCATAATGTTTTGATCAAGATAAGTCAACCGGGTCCAGGTTGTTTATTCTCTCATTCACATTTGTTTACTTTGATATCATTTTTTTCCCTATCTATTTGTTCTTTTAATGCTGCTATGAAGTGCGGCAAGTTGATCCGATACATATTGTGTAAATATGTTATATGTTTGTAAATATGTTAAACGTGAATCCTGTGACCTACTTCAACGATATGTTTTACGATAGAAGAACTTGGACGTCTGTTATCAACGTTTATGGGTTCAGGTAACTTTGGAATATGCTCTGAGCCCCATAGTCGGATGGATCTGTGAGTCTTCCCTATGGATGTATCACCACATGTACATTTGTTTTGGTTGATGCAGCATGATGTAACACTATCGTTCACACTCTGTAAGGCTTTGGGAGAGTAAACAGCTTTGGTGGTTTGTATTAGTCGGATCCTAGTTATATGGTAAGTCCTAACGGCAGCATTTAGTCTCTGCCTAAGGATTGCACCTTAAGTGTCACCTTTGTATAGGAAACTGATGAAAACGTCTTTTTCGGGAAATGGTGAGGAGCAGGTTTTGGCGCTCTGGGTACTTTATATTGTGCATATACATTACACCGTGCAGACAGTTTACATCTTTTTATTGTTTTGTTGAAGTTAAACTATTTATCTATGCGTTTTAAATGTTCTTCAACATGTTATCAATATGAGCTAACCAAGTGTTAACTTTTTCATAGTATTAAGTAGCATTCACCTTTGTATACATGCAGTCAACTCCATTTGTGCTTAGATTTCCATCTTGAATCGTACTGCTTTGTTTACTGACTGTTTAATAGACTTCGTCACTTAGCTTACTATTCTGCTTAGTTATAATGCTTGAATTATCTTTCTTTGTTGTTGTTAAACTACATGGTGTTTATAGTGAATTTTTTTCTCAAACAGAATGTATTGTAGTTTTTATCGCTATCGTATAATGCGCTGAGTTTTCTATGTAAGAGAGTGAAAATAAGGTCTTCAATGTCATTCTTTTAAGTAGTAATTATTATATTGTTCTATGATGAAACTGTTAGGGATACCTATATTCCTAATATTGTATACTTACCAGTTGTACATTTGAACTGTAATTGTTCGTGCTCTTTTTAATGCACATTGGTTACATTTCATATAACCCGGTAGTGTTCTAATTGGCTAATGGCTGTTTTAATGTGCTAATTCTCTTTTTTTTCAAGGTCACTGTTATTACTATATATAGTGTGCCTTTATACTAGTAAACGTTTTCAGTTCAAGATACTGTTAACTCAGTTGATTACCAGTCTTTTAATTTCTCTTGCGAATCACTCGGGTTGAACAATCTTAACTCTCGACTACCAGTCGCTGAGTATTATCCTTGGTTCTCGCAATTCCACGTCGTAACAGAAACATCCTTTCATCTAACTTGTTTTACTATCAAGCATATATCTCCTGTTTCTTAAACAGTTTAACTATTCTTACGAGTTAAGTTGTCTAAAATTTAAAAAGTGTTTAGACTGATTTTTATTTGTTGTAACCATTTGCTGCATATTCTGAAGTTGTAGATAAATAAGGTGGACTTTAGGAAGCGGCAAAAGGAGCTTAGGCAGGTGGTTAAGCGTAGATAGGCTATCATTGTTGTTGTACAACTGGTGCTTATTACACACGATTGTACTGGGATTTTGTTATTTGGTCCTTAGTATTTAATGTACTCCTAGGGCTTGTTGCTCAACTGGACATGATGAATCATTTCGTACGACGAGACCTGTGAATGCAAAGTTTAACACTTGTATTCAATTTGTGGGTTCGTGGGGACTTTTTTAAAGATTGATTTCAAGTCGGTATTCCTCGGGGACTGACATCAGTTGGAGGATTATTGAAAATCTAGGGGGACTGGACAGTTGTTTCGTCCTAGTATAGGGCTTCTCAGCAGTGCGCATCCATGACCTCGCCACGAATTGAACCCAGAAGTTTCAGGTTTCGTTGCGAGCACACTATCATGAAGCCATTCGGTCGAAAGTCAATGGTTCACGTTTTATTACTTCCGTCAGTTCGTGATATAACGTTACCTTCATCCAGTTGTTGTTTAGTGCTCATTAGCGACCTGCTTCGAAATAAGCTTTCACGAAGTTCTTATGAGAAGTCGTAATCATTGGAGCGAACTAAGTTGAACGTGTGGACAAATACTTGATGGTGGGATTGAATGAAGGTTGGGCTATATTACGGATTGAAGTAAGAACCTGTTGGTCGTTGGATTCTCATTGAATGACTTGATGGTAATATGCTTGCCGCGGAGCCTGCAGATCCTGAAGAGTTCCCATACTAAGATGAAACGAATGTTCAGTGCTCCCAGGTTTCAAGTGGTCCTCCGACTGTTGTCAGTCAGGTATTCAAGGTTGATTTTAGTTTGCTGGGTAGGCAGCATTTTGTATGTCTTGCTTCATGGACACATTTGTTCAGTGTTTTTTTCATGTTGTACTAAGAACCAACGGCACTGTTAGCAATTTTAACTAAACTCTCCATAACGAATCGCCAATCAATGATGATGACAGTCAATCAGCTCACTGAACTAAGTGTTTTATTGTATCTCTCCCCCCAGTTACCAACTTTAGATAGATTTCTACTTCAGCTGACTGACGTAGTATTTACTTGTAAATCCACTTAAAGACATGTGCCAGATATGTGATCGATCGCATTGAAAACTTTTCAATGGGTAGAGTAGTGTATACTTAATTACTCAATTCTAATCAGTATTTATCAAGACTTCAGAAGCATTGCTAAGGCTTTTCCTAGTCTCAGTTTTTGTCGAGCAGCTGTCATTCACTAATTAATGGAATTGCATCTCATTGATTTAAACATCCAGCTGACGGGTTGCAGCTTCGAACCCCGCTCCACTTATTGAGGTCTGAGCAATCAGTTAGTATCACTAACCGTCACATGATAGGTCTGGCTCAATGCTTACTTCATAAAAGTGTGTGTAGTTACTAAAAGGATTTTATTTCTTAGTTACAGGGGTTATTTGTTTTGATACGATTACAAGGGAGTAATGAAAAGTTAACTCGAGGTAATTACTAGTTGGTAGCATAATAACTTATGGAGTAATAGGACGGGTAAGAAAAATGGGAGAGTCCAGTTAAAATCAACAAATACAGAGTAAGAAAAGGGGGTGAAAAAAAATGCACAGGTGATAAGTGAAGTAAATAAACAGAAAAACAAATTATAGATGGGTAAATAAAAAGTTTGAGGGGAATTATGATCAGAGTGAAATTAGAGGTTGGATGTTGCTCTTTTGACCACAAAGATCAGATTTGAAGGGACGAATTGTCAAAACTTCTGCTGTGTCCAGGTAGCAAATTCTCACTCTCTTTGAAATGTTTAATTCGACTTGATAAATGAAGACTTTGATGGAGTAAAGTGATCAGTGCTCATAAATTGGGCTGTTAATCACTTGTTGCTTTCCTTTAGAGAGCCATATAGAATAGTATTCGATGTGTGTAGATAAAACATGTTTTGTGCGGTCTGTGTAACCAGCTGCACAAGGGCAGGTGAATTGGTGGATATGCATGGAATTGACCCAAAGCTGTAGTCTATTCTTGACATGTTTTTTTACTAGAGGAAATAAAGCAAAGTCAGCCAAGAAAGCAGGTCTTTCTCAGTGCTTTACAGAACCAATTCTTGAGTACGCCTACCGTTGTGTCTCTTTTAAATCTAATGTTCAAAAATAGTGTGTGCTTTGAAACTGTAGGGGTTTCGTTTGTAGTGTTGTTTAAACTGCATGTTTCTTGTAATGAATCTTGAAGGATAACCGTTTTCGAGCAGTACTTTTCAGAGTACTTCCAACTCTTTTTTTTTTACTGTAATTGTACTAATTTTTCTAACTTTTGTGCATAGTAAGTGAATTAGATTTCTTATATGGCCTATTAGAACCTAATTTTAAAAATTGATATATTTTTCGCTCATTGTTTGTTTTCTGTAAATCGATCTTCGAGAACCGTCATGTCTTCTTTTCAACAGGATGTCTAAGAAGTGGGATTCTCAAATATTTTTGGTTACCTTAGTCAATTTAATCGACTTGTGACATTCATCGAACTTTTTCAGTATATCTTAGTAGTTACTTTTCTTCTCATAGATGATAAAAGTCTCATCTATGTATGTAGATGGGAGTTGTCGATGCTCTAATGTAGTTTGCTGTTCTCCAGACTAGCTATGAAGTAGTTAGCTAAGAGAAGACCCTATGGTGAACCCATTGCTACTCCATTCTTTCGTCGATAAAGTTCATTATTGAGTTTGAATTGTTCATCATAAGAGGAATTCGTGTAGAAAATATTTAGGAATTCCAAATTGAAGTTTGTTGATCGTAATATAATCGTATTGTAAACAGATCCTATCAAAGGAATATTTATGATATTTGACAACGTCCAGTGATAACATGCGCTTTCCACACGCGTTGACATCGCTTATGTAGATCATGAACTTGAAAGAATCAGGCGTACCGTGATTACTGCTCTGTTTTTTCACCGGCTGGAAAATTTCGGTTTTAATCACTTTATAATCCCGTGATATAGCGAACTATTTATGTCCAATATTGATTGAAGAGAAACATTTTTCTTACAAACTTTGAGAAGGCCATAGAATCGATGAATTATTGAACCAGATAGTAATAATAATAATTTGATAAGGAATATGTCACAGTACCGATTTTCTTTTGTTACGAAGTTTATTTTTCTTCAATAAGCACTTGATAAAGGCTTTATTGTATTAATTCAGGATTATTCATAATGTGAGAAAATGTTATGATTCCATGGAAACTTATATTATTTACTTCCCTTTTTAATGATGATCAACGTAATTAGGGCAATCTAATGGATATTACCAACAGTTATTATTTGTTAATTCATTCAGTAGGATTGTGTAGTTTAGTTGCGTTAAGACCTTCGGATTATTGATACAAGAGCCATTTGTGATTCATTTCTAGTCTGTTCAAATATTGATTTCGTTAACCCACTTTAGAATCATTTACTCATATGTGAATCAAATCGAAATGCACTCAGCAACCTTGTGTAGATTCATAAAGTAGGCGATTAGCCGAACCTAATGTATGAGGGCTAATGATACTACCTGGCTGCTGAAACCTCGTGGAGGGTGGCTCGAATCCGTGACTTAGGGGTTGAAAGTCATCTCGTTAGACCATTGTACCACAGCTCCACACTTAGCTGTGAACCATTTGTTGTTTAGGTGATGATTGGAGGTGAAATGAAAATTTTGATCGCGGCTGGATTCGAACCAGCGACCACCGGGTTTCCAACTGATCTACTAGGTTTTAATTAAATTTTATGGTCCAGTCTGTTAACTTTCTGGTTGGGAAGCACTTGTCTTGTACATTGGATTTTATCTTCACTCTTGCTGTTACTTATATTTTTTTGCCAACCTTACCTAATCTACGCTGTTGTAACATTTTTTTCAAGCGTATTTTTGATGTTTTAAGGAAGAATCATCATAATTTGGGATTAGTTTGTTGTTTTAAGAAAAGGTACTATCATCAATAAACACATTGCTTGGTTTTCAACAATTTTCAGTCTCTTCGCATAACATTATATCTGTTGGTGCATTTTCATTGGCTTCTGGACGTTATAAAACCGGTGGTTTGTTTCGAATGGCATTTGATACAATGATTTCACCAACTCGTACATATCCTCCATCTGAGTTATCCTTTGTCAATATATCATATGAATCACCTATAGCTGCGTCTACATGCTTATTAAATACAAAACCAATTGGTAAAGCTATGGATTTACTCTATCGAGGAACACGTACTATTACATTATTAAGATCAGATTTAGATGGTCTTATTGAAAGGTTAAGTGCACCTGGGCAAGCTGAACCTTTAGCTCAACGTATGCAAAAAACTGTAAGACCTAAAGATATTTCCTTTTACTTACCTTTATGCATATTTGTTCATTTACTGATGAACTTATATTACAGTTTGTTTTATGCTTACTAGTCGAGTAAAGATAATATTTTCATGGATGAGATTGAATCGTATTTTGCTATGGCGTTTTTTCATTTTTATTTAGAGCTGTATTGAAGTGCATTATGCAAGATTGTTTCATTGAATAGCCTAATTTATCAAGACAAAAGATTACTATTATTATTTGATCATCTCGAGTCATAGTGGGAACAGCATCGCTTATTGAAAGGCAGGTACATCCAACTGACGAGTCGCAAACAGGACGAAACGCGTGTCAAACTGGATTCCACCAATAGCCATCATCTACTATTAATATTAGAATTGAAAATACAGGTAATATCAAGGGATTTACACAGGAACCCGTATACCAATAGAAACCAATCAATCCGATCCAATCACCGACGAGATAACACAAACAACATCATAAAAAACTCACTGTTCATAGTGTTCACGTTTGATTTACTTTAGTCGATTCAGTTTCACCAATTTTTTCACTTGTGGTTACAGATTTAATTGGAACTTGCTGTAGACTTAGTGGTTTCTGTAGATGAGAACGGTGTTTCAGAGTGATGTGTATTGCCTTTCCCCTCTCAAATAGTAATCATATGACCAACCATGACGTACAAATACATTTAGTTGGTGTTCATTGATATAAAATTATTTCCCCTTTTAGGTATATTCTATACAAGGGATATTCTCAAATTCATTACTGTCTAATCTTAATGTTGTGACAGTTGTCTCGTATGATTTTGAAGTGATTATCGGTTTACTCGCACAACTGTCATCTATAGAAATGATTGAAGTATCAGGTTTTCAGTAAGTCCTATTAATTAAACTAAAGTAAACTTTTTCACTTACGTATAGTGTATTTCGTTCGCATATTGTTTGACATTTCGCCTTTTTAAAAAAAAGCCAGTAATTGTTTTTTCAGTTTGTGAAGTATTCAATTTATTTTATTGACCATAATGATGTGACGGTGTATAATTGTACTGACTAGATAGGTCATTATTTAGCCCAAATAAAGGGTGACGTAATATGCACGGTTTTGGTTGGTTGGTGGTAGTTGGTAGGAAACCATAGATAAACAGACAAGATCAACATAAGACCAGGCGTTATCTTGCAGCAGTCCAAGTTGCCACACCTCATAACAGCATATTAAATAAGAAAACATGAAAAAAAGCAATTAAAAGTGGTAGAAAGTCATGGCAAGATAACAGGAAGATACTGGTTTCAGTATAGCCACTAAGATGATGATGATGATGATGATGATGTGTGAACACATCTAAAGCACTGAGATCGATTTTGACCTACATCAGTGAGGTTCTCTGACCACTGGTTTCTGTTGTCATATGAACCTCAACGCGGAAGTCTACATTTCTTTACTTGTATCACATCATCAGTAAAACATTCCGTTGACTAGTGTTGTGTTTGAGTCTGGCCACCTTCTTCAATCTTAACCCTACTGCACTTAGCGTTGTACGATGAGACATGCGTAACACATGTCCCAGTTACCTGAAAATCAGGCACTGGTCATGCTTAAGAACTGAAAGATTGGACAAATTAACAGGCAAAGAAAGCCTGAGTGGAGTAGTTATCCTTGGATAAATAATTCTACTATCTTTCAATATTAGTGACCTATTACACATTACTGATCATTTCTAATTCCTTATGAAAAATAAAGCATTACTAGGATAAACCAGCCTACAAGTTTATATTTCCATTTTCAGTGGTTATTTTCAGGTTGGTATTCATCCTGGACTGACATTAGTTGGAGGGATATTGAAGACCTAGGAGCACTGGACAGCTGTTTCGTCCTAGTATGGGACTCTTGAGCATTGTGTACTCATGAACCCACCAGGGATAGAATTGAGGACCTTCAGGTTCCACGGCCACCGCGGTACCATTTAGCCAGTAGGTCGGAATTCATTGGTCTATATTTCAGAATTCTGTCGGTTAACGATATAGCGCGACCTCCATCCACTGCCGTCATTGAGTACCTATCTTCATAGTAGGACGAAACAGCTGTCCAGTGCTTCCAGGTTTTTAATGTTCCTTCAACTAAAGTCAGTCCATGATGAATACCAACCTCAGGTAAATAAATCTCCTTACACCTCCAAATTGAAATAGTCTAGTGCTTCGAGAGGTGATTCCAGAAGTGCCGCTGAGAAGTAGTGACCGGTGGGACCGACCAAGTGGAACATGAGGACAGTTACTCAACGACGGCATTGAATTGAGATAGCGCTGTATCGTGGACTGACAGAAGTAAAAAATTTGGACCATTGAATGTCAGCTTAGCGATTCAAGGGCATCATGCTGGTCACAGGGCCTGAAAGTCCTGGGTTCGATCCCCGGCGGGGTCATGGGTGCGCCTTGCTGAGAGGAGTCCCATACTGGGACGGAACAGCTGTTCTGTACTTCCAGGTTTCTAATGTTCCTCCAACAAATTTCGATCCATGATTGAATTCCAACCTGAGATCAGTAAAACTGTAGAAGCCTTTATTTTCTGCACCCATCTTAACATTGTTTAAAAATTATGTTAATACAAGGAGTGGTCATTGAAATAGGATTCTACCGCGATGCCCAATTTCTACTCTTATATTAATGTTAATTTTCAGTTAAAGTTTTTATTAACTCATGCAGTGGATGATATCCAAAGAAGCCTTTTCCAGACTACTAAGTGCGTTTTAAGTAATGATTCCTGATTTGCATGAACTAAAAGAATATAGTTGATTAGACATGTTTTGTGTTGGTTTAGGTATTTATTCATTGATTGTTACGTTATACATTTTGTATAATTTTTCTCTCCAATACTATAAACTGTTTATTTTGCTTTCGAATTATTTGAAAATACACTGATGGTTACATCTTGACTACTTCAATAATCATCTCATGTATTTTTGGTTATCATTATTATCTTTTGGATGTTCATTATACGTTAAACTCTATTGTAAAGCATCAATTGAGTTGACGGTAAAGTATGTTATTTGCACGAAAGATACCCATGAGAACAAGTGTTTCAACGAAGTGTCTCTTCGCTACGATTTCATTCTCGAAGCTATATAATCTCAAATCTATCCATTTTTTTGGTTTATCGAAAACGGGAACAAGAGTAGTGTTAATATACATACATGAGCTGTCATTAAAAATTTTAAAAAAAGATACTCTGGTAAATAATGAAGATTAATCAGAATATGACTAGATTACTAAGTTTGGAGAAGTTTACTAAGATAACCAGAAAGACCATAAAAACAAGAATGAGTAGTAAATTACGTAAAAAAGGAAAGACTAACACTTAAGACCATGAAAAGAGAATGGTTTGAACAGTTTTCTTCTCTGTAAAAAGTTCAGGTTTGTCTTGATAATGCAAAGAATACGAAAACACAGCCTTTGGATGGTTTCCTTTCAGAACAAGACATATAACCGAGCAATATTGTTTTCAATGACATCCTCTTCAGGCTTTACTCTAATACAAATAGCCTAATATATATAAAACTTAAACCAGTCACACAGATTTATCGGTTGATGTAACAAATGTTTTAAAATAATGATGGTGATAAAGATACAAATACCCAGTGGTCGGCTGGTTCGAATCCCGCCACGGTCAAAATTTTCATTTCACCTTCAATCATCACGCAGTGTTAATACTAGTCTGCCAAACCATGGCTATCTTGAACAGTCAGAATGAGAAAATAATAAAAATAATAACGTTGACTAAAGCACTTGCAATATAGACGGTGATGATGATGATAAAGCTTGGGAAAATAAAAGTTACGTAATACTCAAGGACGAGGTAAACGCGTAAGCAAAATCTAAACAGATATACTAAGTATATGAAAGGGGTGAAGAATAAGAATGGAGTAGGAATAAAATCTCAATGATAAAGTTATTAATTAAGTATTCCCTGACCAAGAGGGAAATACAAGATGTACAAACTTCTTCTGGATACAAAGACTAGGATTATTGGCTGGAATTCCCACACCATCTGCTATGTGTGAAAGACGAGTTCGAATACTTTTCGAAAGATGATGTAGTGTGCGGTGAATACTCGTAAAAGCATGTTTTATCTACCAACTGACTGCTATCAACGAGGATTTTATCTGTCCCTCTCCCAACGATGAAGGTAGATGCTCAACAATACGTCTGTTAAGTTGTTAAGTAGAACACCCTGTATAGCTTTCTCCACAGGAGCAGCTAAACTTGTAAATATGCTCTCTACGTGACTTTGAGTGCGGAGGTTCTTGAGATAGAATGACCGAGGTTCACATTGTGTTCAATTATGATGCCTCCTTCGTTACCTCTTTTGAAGTCTACATTTTTGTTGTTATCAGAATTACTTTTAATTCTGTGTTTTGATTTCATTCTCCGTTCGTTTAACAGAAGAGAATCTCAGTCTAATAACAATTTAATCGAGAATAAAGTGGACAACAAATTTCGTATGGAGTTGATAAATTCCTTGAACAAAGCAGGTCAAAAATTGTCTACTACTTTAGAGCGTATCTGGGATAATGCATCATCAGTATTGTGGGATTATGTTCTATCGGCTCTTGCTGATTTATCCAATCAGCAAATGCCGTCCAATGGAGATAAGGAAGCTGGTTGTAATTATTCTGATTTAATCAGTGATGCAGAGAGATCAGCTTATCCTAATATGTTGCCGATAAATAACAATATACTCACAGCGATCTCTATTCTACAAGATGCCTTCAGCTATCGACATCATGCCTGCGTTTGTCAGGTAATAGTGATGGTTTTTTTACCGATATACCTGCTTCTGTATACTTTTTATGCTGTCATGTATGAACTCTGTTTGTATAATAATGACAGTAATCGATTTCTTTGAGAAAATTTTAATCTTGTGGATAGGTTCACCTAGTACATGATTCAGATTTGTTGAGTTCCATCAGTTTGTTACGTAATTTTTTTCATATAGTTTTATATTGGGTTTTTGAATGCCTGCTAATGGCGGGAAATACTTACTAGAACCACATACTCATAAGTCATCAGTTGTTCTTGAATAATTATGAAGGTATTTGATTTGTGGCTGTTATACTGTGATAAATAGTGGATATACTCCTGTTGTCTGCGATCGATAGCGGCCAACTTGAATTGGTAGCCAAGTTCGCACATCATAATGACATGACTAGCTATGCTAACTGGAACGTTTGTTCCTTGAACTCCTACTATGCCAGAAAGATTTATTGTTTACTGGTCAGACAAAAAGCAGCTACCATTATACCGTAAATCGTTACTTTATGAGGGGTTCCAAGGGCAAAGTTGTATTAGTTAATGTATGCGGTGCGACAGCAGGTGTTCCCTGCAGATAACCAGCAATAATAATAATAATAATAATAATAATAACTATTCCAAACAACAAGTGTGTTTTAGTGTGCAGTTCTCAGCATGTAATACTTTAAAAATTCACTCCCTGTACAATATTTTTAACCAAAATAATGATTGCATGTGAATGTTGATACTAGCAGTATTAAGGGCAGTAGTGTGAAACAGGCAACTGGTATTATATTAGTTTCTGGTTTCGACTGGTGAATGAATATTTTACTGATGCTGTTGTCTCTATGGGAAGAAAAGGTTGACCTTAAAAACTGCACATTCCTCTTTACCGTGCGGTCTTGTGATGCTGGTGGCATCATTTTTTCTCATATAGCACTGGAACAGTCAAATCTCAATCAAAAAAATCCTAAGATGGCTGTATGTAATAGGTTTCATAGGTTCCGTAACCCCTCAGTCTGCGACCATTGTTAACAATCTAAGTCATCTGGGCGCTTCTTAGCCTTCTAAGACCCAGCTATCTGTTCCACACAGGATGATTTAACGCTAAGTCGAACGACAGGCATCACTCACCAGAATATTGGAATCTCGAGCCATGGATGTATGCTGTATCTCACAGACAGCATACCTTACCTGGACATTGTAATGCATCTTCAGAATTCACTTTGAGTATCAGGAGACTCAGTGACTAGGTCTTTTGGACTCGCAGGTGTTGGTATAGCATAGAATTGTAGAGCAGAAAGTGAATTCCTCGACCAATCAGAAGCTGTCTATATGTTGTTCGAATGAACAGTTCTGTAAGAACTAGGAAGCGTCATGAGACTAGCCGATGCTTATTCGTAATCTCTACCTACGCACCCACTGACTGCGATTCGAACTACCCAAAGGATGAATTCTATGAGAAGCTGTCAATTTTGCTACAGCGAACAAAACGTTCAGATGTAGTCATTTTATCAAGCCTATCGCATTCCATGAACCCAGAAGTTTGAATGACTGACACATTTAACGTAGGGGTGATTCATTTTACCTTCTAATTGATGATATGTTTTCTTCCAACTAGGAATATAATGTGTTTGCGTTTAAGGGATATTATATAATGTTTGACAGTATATCAATAATTGATTAGTTTGATAACCTCCGTTTCCTTTCATTTTCTCATCGAATATGGTTATCTCTTCGATTTATTTATATTTCTATAAATGTCCAACAGTGCTAGGATTGGAAAATAACGATAATAATCGATTACTTTTTAACATCTAATTTTTATGAAAATATGACTGGTCAAATCAGTTTACGCTGAATTGTTTTATTACTTTAATCAATTCAGACTTTAACTACAGTTCTTACTGCTCTCTCAATGGAAATACCTCGGTGGGATCGTAAAGATTGGGAACAAGCTGCTGTCTGTGGGGTCCTAGTTCATTTTGAAGGTCTCCTTAGTTGTTATGGAGATGAACAAGGAATGATCGAAGATTGGGCATGGGCAATCGATTATTTATCAGCCTATCGTATTACACTTCGACCATCTGGTAACTTTACTAACTCTGTAATCGCTGCAAGTAGAAAGAATACGGGGAATTGTGAATCTTCCAGTTTTAACCGTTCAAGTTCCAGTGTACAGATTACAAATTGTAATGTCGATAGAGAGAAAAATAAGAATTCAGAGGAATTTTATCCAGGTTTCAAAATCACAAAATTAAATGAGTGTGAGGTAGTGTATATTACTTTTAATGCACCGGTAACTTTTAATAAGCTATTAATTGATGTATATATATATATATATATATATATATATATATATATATATATATATATATCCGTGAAGTAGGCAGTGAGCTACACCTACTGTGTATGACGGCTAATGATACTGCCTGGCTGCTAAAACCTCAATATGTGGAGTGGTGTTCGAACTCGTAACCGACTGGCTCATAGTCGACCATCAATATATGATCTAGTGTTGTCATTAGTATATATAGTAGCACAGTATAATGTAGTATATATTTAGAAGTCTATTTGGAGGTTTGTAGGCATTTATTTATTGGTTTCAGGTTGATATTCACCATGGACTGACTTCATTTGGAGGACCTCTTGAAACCTGCAAGCATTGGACAGCTGTTCCAACCTAGTATGGGACTTCCATGACCCTGCCAGGTATGGAATCCAGGATCTTCAGGTTTGGCTGCCAGTATGTTGCTATTAAACAACCACCACGTTTGGCACTCAGTGGTCCATATTTTTTACTTTTACCAGTTCACGAAACAGTGTGACCTCCATCCAATGCCATCGTTGAGTAACTGTCTTCATACCGACCTTGGTTTACCTCACCGGTCACGATGTCTCACTGGAACTTCGAATTTCATCTCGAAGAAAGTCACTAATGAGTACTAGAAGTGAAATTCGTATTCTGATTATTAATTTCAAGTTTTAGTCTTAAATAAGTTGGTTAGGCAACTTTTGAAAACAATAAAACATAATGATTCAGAAACTCCAATAGTGCATTACTCTATAATTTCTTGCTTTACAGCTTTCTGTTCAATGGAGGTCATGGGTTCATGCTCCTTCAGAAATTCAAGCTCGTGGTCGTGTACGAATTCGTTTGCATCCTGTTTCATTTGTAGTTGGTATCAATGAATTACAATCAGTTGCTGAAACGTAAGTTTGGCGAAATTCCTATTCCTAATAGCCATTTTTCTGTGTTATATCGACAATTTGTGTTTCATTCTTTCTGTAAACTTTGAAATAAGCAGTATATGACTTACACAGTATACTATACTATTGAACAGCTTGAGTAGTTAGAAACCACTCAAACTTTTCATCAGCCAGGTCAGAGTGATTTAAGCACCAGACGGCCGTTTCGCTCGTTTGTCGCCAAACTTATTAGGTGTGTAAGCAGACGAATTCAGTTCACAGAGCCGAATTAGTTAAGATCACCTAAATCTAGATATTTAACATTCACTACTTCCTACTTAGGACTTATTTCATGATTCAAGTCTTCATGTACGCTGAAAATGTTTCGTTTAACTTGGTGCAAAATGAAAATATGAGGTCATAAAATATTTTTCTTTTGTTAGTTTTTCAATTTTGCGGTATTCATAGTGATTACTAAGATAATATTTATATCGTTTCAACAAACAACTTTGTTCAGCTATGCAGTTGTATGCAAATTTGCCTATTACAAACATCATCTACAACATTTCTACAACCTGACTGCTGTTGCTTCATTGACTGTAGACCAGTGTAATCTTCAAATTCATCATTCTAAAGTTGAATGCTTATAACAAATAAACTTCAGTTTTGCTGAAGATATAGTAGTTTGCCTAAGAGATGATATATAGATTGGCTTACATGAAAATTTACAATTACAAGGATGGCTAGGAGTCAATCGTAGTGGAGTGGTAGTCTGTACACGAATAAATATGTGTGCGATAGGAACTGACAGACAGAAATAAATGGAAGCACCAAAGTTGTTCAAGAACTCTTAGGCTTTTCCATTTAACAATTAAGTTTATATTGTAAGCGAGAATGTTCAAAACATCAAAAAACACTGTAATTGTTTCCAAAAGTTATAGACGGCAGTTTCAGTACAACTTCAGCACGTTTAATTAAGGAGTCGAAAAAAAAGTTTTTTCTAAACTTTTCATTGTGTCATTTACAGCTTCTTCGCAGGATATTCAGGTTTTTCAATAAAGATCGAAAATATGTATAGAATAATTTCTTCCATCATCATTATCATGATCAACATAGCACCAGGCACTACTGCATAACGGTTCAAGTTGCCACACCTCATGTCAGACCATCAAGTAACAAGGCAATAAAGTGGAGAATGAAGAAGGAAATAAAAATCAGTCAAAACAAGTAGAAGTAGAAAGTAGTAGAAGAGAAGAAGGAAGAATGAGAAGATAAGGAGATTAGCTATAGCGGTTAAGATGAGGATAATGTATGTATACAACTGCGCCACTGACATCAGTTCTGAGCTATATCACTTAGAGTCCCCAACCAGTGGTTTCTCTTGTCTCGTGGACCCAAACCGGTTAGTCTGCATCTCTATATATGGCTCAAACAAACGACCAAGGACTTCATACATTTATGCCATATTTTAGTCTGGCCACCTCAAAGCCTTTTTCCAGCCTGAACTTACTTCGACGAACATTGTGATATAGGGCAGATAATTTCTGTGCCAACCTTTATTTGTTGTTCAGATTGATTAATTATGACTATTCTTTATAAATCTTTATTGTACACTGAAGAGCAACTACGTTGTTTAGTTCTGAATGGTGACCGGATTCTATATATCTTTTTTTCAGTGTGACCACCAGGCTAGGAGGCTCACCATCGTGGCACACTTTGATGGGTGTTAGTTGGTTGGAGGCAATAAGCAGGATGCTCTGAACCCGGGTGACACTAGTTCGAATCTCACAGGAGACATTACTTCCCTCGAGGTTGCAGATATGTGCATTGCCGACGAGAACCAACAAGCATGAAACCTAGGTCAAGTAGGGCTTTGTGCTGATTGCCTAAAACCAACTGATATCCACTGAGTCGCTATTGTTTTCTTTGTTTCTCTCTGACAAAAAGAGTTATCACCTAAAGTATGTCTGTATATGAGTGACACTTTAGGAGTAGGTGAAGTTTTAGTGTGAATTATCCTTTTTTAAAGTTTTATCCAACTGATATATACTGATATGTGGATAGTAAAAGTACCATCTACAACACACACAAACTGGATGTTCAGCTCACGAATGAAACCGAATTGAATATGAGAGAAGTTGAAATTTTTTTGAACTGACTACTTGTACATAAAATATCAGGAGGGAAATTTCAAAATCAAGTCTACAGGAAAAACCTACTGATTCCGTGATAAGTATCTAAACTTTTTTAAGTCTGATCCTCTGCTAGCCACAACCATGTAAATTACCATAATAAATATTCAGGCAATATCGGAGCATCGGGATAGCAGCCGGTATGCCAACAGAGGTCGAACATTTGGATCCAGTATAACTACGTAGAATTACAAGTATATCAACAAATAGTAATAACTAATACTCGTTGTACAAGGAGCGGCTATCGTGCCTCAGTGGCCTAATTGATAACACCTAGGCATTTGAAGCGATGAGTACGAGGTTCGAGTCCCAGTGGGGACAACATTACTCCACACTGGGGTGCAGGTACATCCGGTTGTCGACTCCGAAACGTGCACCCTGGATTTCTCTGCTAGCCACAATCAAGTAGATCACTCTAGCCTGTAAAAGCTACAGTAACTCTGAGCTTATTAACAAAATAAAGCTAAAACAATGAATTCTTGTGAATGTTAAAACAAGTTTCAGTGAATAACAAGTTATGTGAAATCCCCCTTTTTAAACAATATTTTCAATAAGAATGATAAGAAATAAACAAATAAGACTAAAATGAAGTTTGGAGGTGTCAACAGTAGACACTAGTCGCATTGATTAACATGTTTTTTTTTTTTGAAATGACATATATATATATATATATATATATATATATATATATTTATATTAGTTTTTTTCCTTAATTGACCCAGGACGTAGTAAAAGCTGATAATATAACTCCTTTAGATATCTGCATTTTTATCAATCAAAGTGTATTTTGCACGACATGGTTATGTTGCTTTTATAACCTCGTTGTTACTTGTTGTGAATGCTTGCTGTAACCTAAGTTAAATATATGCGCTGACGCTTGGACAATAACCTTCAGATTCCACCCTCTGATGGTGTCGCTCAGTTTTCTGGATAAATGGAAAAGGCAGTAATATGTACAGAAGGTGTTTGTGCAATGTCAAATATATATATATATATATATATATATATATATATATATATATATATATATAATATTATTATTTGTCCTTTGGCTTCTTAGTAGAACGTAGGGCTTCAGTAACACGTCGCTATTTCATTCTGTTCTCTGCAGTCTTTGAACCGGGCTCCACGACTGCACACAAGCTTTCATTTCTTCCTTACATGATCTCCTCCATGTCACGCCTGACTCGGACGCCCAACTCGTCGTTCCCCACTTGGGTTACACTCGAGGACCTAGCGCGTGATGTCCCTAAATGATCTTCTCAGTGTGTGTTCGATTCATCTCCACTTCTGCATATTTGTTGGGCTATAGGTTCTTGCTTCGTTGGTTCGTTGCCAGCAAGCCAGAGTTCCTTGTTGCTTATTCTTCCTGGGCATCTGATCTGATATTCAGTATCGCACGAGCGTAGGCCGCAGGTGTTGATGAATGTCTGCAGTTTGTTGGAAATGCTTTTCGTAACGCGCCAAGCTTCTGAACCACATAGAAGCACTGACTTGAAGTTGGTGTTGGAAATCCGGTCTTGTTCTTTATGCTGAGTTGAGTATAGTACAGTAGATCTCCACGCGGATTTCAGAGTAATGAATATACAAAATACAAGGGCTTAAACATATTTTACAATGACCTTGACTATTTCCTAGATTTGAATGTCTTATTTTTTTGTCCCTTCAACCAATCTGGTTAACGTACTTTCTCTGAAACTTCAGTGCAACACAGTTGACTGTAGAAAAACTCCAGGGTGTACGGTTTCTTATGAAAATTTTATCAATCCTACTTATCAACATCTCCCCTTGAAATAGAAATAGATAGTTGGATGGTATTTTTCGATTGACTGTTACCGTTTTACTGGATTATTAAAATTTGCTGAATCTGTGTTGTGACATAGTTTGAAGTAACTGAATTTAATACGTGAAAACTAGTAATGAGCGAAATAATTTTCTGACACTTTGAGGAAAAGTATTTGATGAATATTTTCCTCTCCGCTTCGAGAAAGCATTTCTCATAGCTTCACTTGTTGAATTCCAATTTTGTACAGCTTTTGTCAATTGCACCTACTTCACGAACTCGTTGTTTTTTGCTATGGGGTCATATGAAACAAAGGAAACGAGTAGTCCAATTTAATTGAGAGTGATTCTACCATCGGATAGTTGTTTATTAGGAAACCCATACTTATGTTTAGTGATAATAAGACTGCTGTATCAATCCGTTCTTTGTATCATTTACATGAATGTGATTGAATTTACTGGTAACCTGTTTTTAAGGCAGTGAAATGCGTTCTAGTTGTTATCGATTCATCACAGTGTTTCGCTGTAGGTATTTCTGTTTCCCGTCTACATCGAAGTAATTATTCTTCTGGACTATCGGCCCTACGATTTATGAGGTATTTTCGTTTGAAGTTAACTTTTAGAGAAGTGTAGAATTAATGTCTTATTGTAGTAACAAAACTGTTTAGGACAGAGTATTGATGTGGAACACTTTGATTCATCCTATGATATAGATAGAATAAGAATTCACAGTCTTATGCGGAAATAACAAAAATTGTTACTGCAATTATTATAGACTCAAACACTTCAGCGATTCCAGATGGTTCCAAACAGTTCAGTCAATCACCTTAATGCGGTAATACATGTAATGGTTCACCTTAATGTACTCTTACTAATATGTTTAGAAAGCCGGTAGGATTAGTAGCGCATTGCCGAGGAGTTCTGTACTAGGATGAAACAGCTTCCCAGCGTTCCCAGATTCAAAATGTTTCTCCAACTGATGTCAGTTCATGATGAACATCAACCCGAGAACCGAAAAACAGTGAGATTTCAGTGAACCGTTTAACTATATCATGCACACAAGTACTTTACGTATGAACTACATTCAGGCTGCAGATAGAGTAATCTGGTCGAACTTACGAACTAGAACATATTGAATTATCATATCCAAATTTGTATATCAGAAAGAAATACTTGAACTGTAGAAAAAATATGCTACTCTTTTAAAACAATTAATTCTCTTTATAAATTTAGACAAAATAGTAGGAAGACGTAAGTTGTCTGGACCATGTAATGGATTTGCACAACACATTTCGAACGATGTGACCACATACGTACCTGTCATAGGTACTTATAGATAAATTTATAAAGAAATAAGGGCTGAGAATATAAAAAGAGGTCAAGTAGGAAGGTTTAATTTAAGACTAAAATAACACTGAGAAGCAATAGATCACAAATAAGAGTATATCGATCTTGGTTTCGGAGTTGGATTCACTAAGGGAAACCTCCCTTGGTTAGTGCTCAATGCAGTTTTAGACTTCCTATGCAGGTAGGCTTCGAGTAATAGAAACCACTAAACCTGTATACTCTTTTATGTGAACGATATTGTGACATACCATTTTACTATCAACTCAAGTGTATGTGTGGTTACACATACTCAGGGATGAATCTCAGATCCGTGCAAGTAAGGGTCTCAAAGTATATTCTGAAGTGGCCTCAGAAATCAAATGAATCACCTGAACCCATAAACGTCGGTAGCAGACATCCAAGCTCCTCGATTGAGAAACATATCATTGAGATAAGTCACAGAATTGACATTTTTACATCGACTTCACTTATTTACAAAGTGTGTTGGGAAAGATTCTTAAATTTGTCGAGGCCTTGGCTATTAGGAAGTTTAAGTCACCTTCGTGTCTTCAAAAACGGTTTTTTGTCACATTAAACCTTCCTTGGTGAATTCAACTTTGAAACCAAGTTCGATGTACCGTTATTTTCGCTCTATTGATTTTCATTGTTATTTGGTTTGGGATTCAGCCTTCCTATTTGACCTCTTTTCATACTCTCACCCCCTTATCTGTTTATAAATCTTCATATAAATGCTTAAGATGATCAGATTGTTCGAAATTTAGCGCGCAAATCCATTAAACGGTTCAAACAATCTATGTCTTCCTATTGTTTTGTTAATGCTGTTCTTTATTAATTTTGTTCTACTGAATGATTTTTAATTCCTGCATTTGCTGTTTAGAAGATATTAGAAGTGTGAAATGAGAAGCTTCATCGTTAGCGTCAGTTTTTATAATGTAAAATCCCACCTTCTGTTGAGAGAAAAACAAATTTTCAAGATGGTTACAATACTTATTGATCAGTTGTACTATGTGTTTTTGTATGTTGCATCAGTCAGTAACTATCTGAGTTTTTTTTAACTTGTCAATGTTCTCATATTCAAGTTTAGATAAAACTGGTGTACAATGTGCCGTGAACAATCATGGTTTGAAGTGTTTCCGTGCTTATTTTGACCGATATACAAAGCATTTCGGTGCACCAGGTAAATACAATTTATCTTCATTTATACTACAATCAGTTTGCTAATTAAAATCCCAATGTTGATGAAGGAGTTCTGATTTTTCAATGTTTAAAAGATGTGCGAAAATTTGTGTTTGGTTAGTAATTCGATAATAATAATTAGGACATGTACTTCTGAGTTACGTCCTATTTTCATCGGAAATGCATAAAAATCTACCTATATACATGGTAAAAGGTAATTTTTAGGCCATTTTACTGAGCGTTGACTTGACATTGAGGAGCATAATCTTTTTGTATCGCCTATTACTTGTGTCTTCTAGTATGGTTGTTAAAGTTTCGGTCGAAAATATTTACTTGTCGACAAAACTACTTGGTAGTAGTGTAAAACGTTTAGATGTTTTTGTTATTAATGGCTATGCCAACGGTTATTTTCATTTGTTGAATGTATGTTCTCTCTGACATGTTAGCATGATTGTACTACCTATAGCCACATACATCAATGAAGTTTTATTTATGTTATTGTTGCCTTTTTTGGATTTGGTCAATGACAACCTAATGTGCTCATGTATGAGTTCGGATTATGAAAGTATGTAGCTCTGTAATGAAATCAAGAACATGCTGTTGTGAAGATGTCGTTCAATAGTGTCAAAGGTTTCTTGTCTTAGATAACGAAGTCAATAATATGCATGAGAAAGTCAACAAGGGGATTGCTTATTGGTTAGTTTGTCGCACTCATAATGGAGTATACTAGTTATAGGATAAAACGACAGTAAGATACTTCTGCTTATCATATGCAACGTTTTTCGGAATCACTCACTATTTCCTATCAATTGTTCTATTGATACAAATGTTAGTACTGAAAAATAATATTGAGGCATTGTCGTGTACAAATAAGTGTTAGGTCACAGTTTCTTTGTACTACTGAATTATGTGATATTTTTTACACTATCATAGTTTGAACTGTGAAGATTTAGCAGCCGAGAAATAAGTCTTATCCTGTAGCTTATTGATCTAAACACCTGTAGTCAACCAATGGGTCACGGGTTCGAGCCCAGCCCCACCTACTAAGGTCTAGGTAGCCAGGTAGTATCCATAGCCCTCACATATTAGGTGCCACTTATTGCCCACCACCGCATCAAAGTCCGTGTAGTTCTAAACTTACAACAATAAGATGTTTCAGCTAAGTGATGCTGACTCTTGACTTTAATAGTTCATATTTGTCGGGTTCGCTGTGTGTGTTTACATCAAACTCAATAAGATTTCTTTCTAGGACAGTATTTCATCCTTTTCCTTTTTTTGTAGTTGACTTCTATGTAAAAACTAGAGAACACATTCATGTCGGTATTAGTTGTGTGTATCTAACCTCCACAATATATTCCCGTACATTATTCTTATGAGCAGTCATTTCCAATTCTGTTACCCAATTACTGAAGAGGAATTAAACCAAGATCTTGAACTCCATATCTGTTATTTAGAAATTCAATGTTGACACTTATGGACTACGTTTTCTCAACAATGCAAAGAGCAAAAGTGAATCGAAAGAGAGTGATACTGAAGTAGAAAGAAGTGTGGAAGGGACGATGATCAATAATTGAACACTGATATGTCGTCCATATTCTTGAATTGACGAAGTGGCTACACATGTAGCCTTTTGGTTAGTTTCGTGGCTTATTATCAAGAGTTTTGCCATCGATCATTTCTTTCATCTTCACAACTGCGTGACATCTAACTCTTTCCTATCCCACCTCAGAGATGCAGTCAGAAACGTTATATGTATAGTTTGTTGTGCATCTGTCCAACTTTTTTAAAATTAAGTCTTTAGGCAACAAAGTATGTTTGTCGCCGCCAATTCTTGTTCGACTAACTGTCACTCGTTAATCTAAGCAATGAATCTGCAATTGGTCACTTGTTCGAATGTCGGTCTATCTATCGAGTTTTGAGCAGACGTCTATTATCAGTGCTTGCGTATCAGATATTGCATGTTGTCTCCTATTTACGTTTATTTTTATATCTTCTTACTATGTGTTCACACAATAACGGCGTCTGATTAGTTTTATCAGTTTTATATATCACAGAGTGCCCACGATACGTTGATTGTAGTGAATTGTTCAGAAATTTATGGTAATTAGAAATTTGGCGAATCTCTATTTATCATTTACTGAGAGAAAAATAATTGTTGAGAAGATTTGTAGTTCTGAATGAGGTTCACAATTTCTTCAGTGTTGTCTAAAATTTGAGATTTGTTCTTGGATGACCTCATTACCATTTACTTCTTCATACTTGAATATCATTTTGGATTTAAATAATTTTTTACTTCTTTTTCCTAGGTCGAACCGCTTCAAATCAAGATGTATGCGATTTACTGACTGATATTGCACATCGTCTTACTCCACCTATACGTTCAAAACCAGTAGAAGTGTTACAGTTAGCCTCTGAGGTGACACATGCATTCGGTGGTTTACGTATTACAAATTGTAAGTCAGCTAAAGATCGTACAGCTATGTCTGTTACGCTAGAACAGATTCAATGGTTAAAGGTTAGTGTATACTTTTTTCGTTATTGATGCATTCTTTTATATGCTTTTCAATAAATTATACGTCATTGTTGATGAACACTTATTTACTTACTTTCTTGTGGTTCCCTTTCCTCCCCCTCAATCCAAAACTGTGAGAGGAAAATGTTAACGACACAATAACTTTCACCATAGACAGGAGAATTGTTTAGAGTACCGGAAAATATCTTGCGAATGATTATCTTACCAGATGGTCTAGGCCATTTTGGGTGTATTTGATGCTTAGACAACTACTGGGTTGTTAACATGGAAGTAGACAAATGAGGTTTTGACCCATTACTCACTGAACTGTAACTTGGGTAAAAATAAAGTAGTGCTTTTAAGTTGTTCTTTTGGTTGTTCACCTCTTGATCTGTTGTTTCATCGTGGCAACTTCCCTAATATTAATCAAATTGTAGAAACTGGTATGATCAATGAAGTCTGTATCATGAATGTAAATAGATGTAAACTTACGTGTTGGGAACCGTAAGGTAATAGAAAGTGATGGAGATGGGGATGTGGATGACGATTGATTTCAGTGGCGCAGACGTAATCATTTTATCTGTGTCTTGAACTCTATATTACCTTTTTTCACTTGCTTTATTCTTTTCGTTTTACGACTTTCTACAACTTTTGATTATGTTACGTCCGTTGACTTGACCATTTGTAAAAATATACTTGTATCTTAAAATGTTAATGTTAAAAGAATTTGGCAATGTGGATTGTTATGCAGTAATAACAGGTATCATATTGATATTGAATCAATGATATATATAATACAAATGTTAGTAATATCACTCAATGATTCTAACCGTGGGCTTCTAGTCAGTGATGTTGTTACGTACTTCATTTTCATTTGTATATTGCTCCCCTTTTATTTCCGGCTGTTTTTACTCTTGTTATTCATCTTTCGTTCGAACACTGGATAGATCAAAGTTTATCCAGTACTGCAATAAACTCCAAGTTTTTTCAATTTGCATATACAGCAAACGATTAGTGAGGAACACAGCGAAAAATTGCTTTCACTGTATGAAACAATGCATGTTTTTTCTCTGTGTAAGGTTAGGAGTAGCCAGACCTTCAACATGACATCAACACATTAAGTCGTTGACTGTTGGTCTGAGCCATGTTGAGAGATACTGACTAGCCGGTTGAGGTCCATGTGACAACAGAAACTAGTGGTTGAAGACTGTGGGTAATGACTCAGACTCGATGTCAATGGCACAGATGTAGCCATACGTTATCTTAATCTCAGTGGCGATACTAAATTTTTTTTAAAATTTCTACTGCTATATATCCCTAATTTTGCATATGTTTTGGCTGATGGTTGCATATAACTTTAAAATAATTTATCGCTGCCATTTTTACACCGTTGGTAGCTTTTTGTTTTTCCACTGCTCTGAAGACAGAACCTTCATCGGTTGTTAACTATTTCTACCTATCTGTGAATTTAGTGTTGTCAAGATAATTTAGAAATGTATATATTCAGAATCACTGTCAACTGTTTCGACTCTTGTGGAGACAGTAAAACCAGTGACCAACAGATTTGTGGAACAGTACTCTAAAAACTGAACTACCAGGTCTGACTGCTAACCAGATTTTTATCTCACTTCAATCATCAAGGGTTTTGCCTGACTACCATGTGAATTCGTGACACGTTACTACCGCTTGATCTCACTCACACTGACTGCCCCCCCCCAGTCAGGACTTCTCATGGCAACTCAAATGTGACTGAATTAGAGAGGGGGTGCATCGTATTGATTATCATTTCGATAATTTGATATAACTGTGGTTTAGCAGAATGGTATTGATTCTGGGTGGTGATTGAAGTGAAATAAAAATCCGGTCTGCAGTCGAACTTCGTATCTCACTTAGTAGACCACTGGGCCGGAAATCTGGTAGACACTTGTTCAAATCCATCCGTAGGCCAAATTTTCATTTTACCTTCAATCATCACCCAGTATCACCTCACTGAATTGAAGATATGATGAGAGCTTCGCGATCTTTTCCACTGATAGTTCCGTTAAATTTATGACTAATGTGGTTATGCAGTTGAATAACGTGTATACACCACTGAGTAAATTACAAATATCCATCAAAATTCTTTAGAATGCAGGATGAGAAGCATCATTTACAACTAACTGTGAAGCATGGTAAAGTAAGCAATGGTCAGGAAAAGTGTTTAATAATAGTTACATAATCTTTTTTCTTCTAGCGTAAATTTTCTCTTAAAGTAAATATAATAAATAGGTTAAACTCAGACGAAGGATAAGTTACTTAGTTTTGCCTTTTCTATGTTTATTCGCAAGTCTAGCTGCTCCTGTGGAGATAGACTATACAGAGTGTTCTACTTGACAACTTAACAGATGTGTTACTGAACCTCTACTTTCATGATTGGGAAAAAGGACAGATAAGATCCATTAGAAAATTATCTCAGCTCGTTGATAGTGATCACTTGGTAGATAAGAACAATGCTTTCTGGACTATTCACCTCACGAGGTATTCGAACTCGTCTTTTACACATAGCAGATGGTGTGGGAATTCCAGCCAATAATCCTAGTCTTTGTATCCAGAAGAAGTTTGTACATCTTGTATTTCCCTCTTGGTCAGGGAATACTTAATTAATAACTTTATCATTGAGATTTTCTTCCTACTCCATTCTTATTCTTCACCCCCTTCATATACTTAGTATATCTGTTTAGATTTTGCTTACGCGTTTACCTCGTCCTTGAGTATTACGTAACTTTTCCCAAGCTTTTGACCTCTTTTATTATCAAAATGGAAATTACAAGTGTCAATAAAACGATGCGTGATACCAGTTGGAAAACGGGGTGCCGCTCGTGCTCCTATGGTCTAGTGAGTAACGCTTGGCGTTTATAGCGATTGGGTCTTGGGTTCCAGAATCAGTGGGAACAGCATTAGCCGCTGGGCTGCCTGTGAACGTAATTCATGAGTCTAGAAAAGGGCGTAACGCGCATCCTGGATCCCACTGCTAGCCGCTGGATGGAGTGCACCATACTTGACTAGCCTTTGTATCTTCTTTTTTTGTCTGTCACATAAATATCACATAAATATTGGTAAGATATGGTCATTATGTATTGTGTTAGAGTTTAGATGCTTTCCAAAAATCCATTTTAAGGATCAAAGTAGACTTTGTTGTTGTTTTTGTACGTTTTATACAATTTTACTGCAGATAAGTGCTTTCGAGATTTGATAACCGATAAATTCGACTTTGAAAATAGCTGAACACACTTTCTCAATAATTTGTTGTTAATTAGTAATATTTAAGTCAAAACCCCCTAAGTTTATCTTTTAAAAGTAATTAAATGATTGTTTGTAATGGCTGTTTTCTGTATCCAACGATACAGATGTTTTGAACTTCAATCTATGTTAATTCTCTCATTGATGTTAGTTCATGATGAATTACGAATTAGTTTTTATTCGATTTGGAGGTTTGTGAGAACCTTTTTTATTGATTTGATGTTGGTATTCATCACAGAGTGACAGCAGTTGGGAAACTATTGAAGAACTTGGCAGCGCTGGACGGCTGCTTCGTCCTAGTATGGGACTCCTGAGCAAAGCGCACCCAGGACCCTCATGTTCCGCGGCCAGCACGTTATGATTGAGCCACTGAGTCGGAATTCAGTGGTTCATATTTCTTACTTCTGTCAGTTTACGATATGGCGCGACCTCCATCTAATGCCGTCGTTGGGTACCCGTCTCATGTTGGGCTTGGTTATCCCTACAAACCTCAAAATTGCATTATTCTTGTGCTCATTGGTTATTTTCTCCGAGATATATTTCCCAAAGTTCTAGTAAGAAGTCGTAACAGGCTTTAGGTTCGATCCCCAGCGCCGTCATAAAAGCGCACTGATGAGAGATGCAGCGATCTCCATTTTTGGTCTACTATTCCAGCACCTCTTTTATCATATATATATATATATATATATATATATATATATATATATATATATATATATATGCCAATATAATAACTTCGTTTTCGGACTCTCATTAATTGTGTTATGTCAATACATACAGCGCTGATTAAGATACATAATAATTCTCTTTATTGCTTGCGTTTTTGTTGAAGAAGATAGATGGGGTCTTAAGAGACTTGGTATGACATTTCAACAGCTTCAGTCTTTAGCAGTGGTCGCATATTGAAGAGTTGAGAAACCTGTAAGAGGCCTAATTTTAGTATCAGGAGGTGAAGGCAACGGAGGAGATAGTGTTAAGGAGGATAGGTTTGTAGAAGGAGAAGATTAGTGGTTGTCTTGGCTTCTTTTTTAGTGTATTATACAGATGCGTGCGTGTGTATGTGTTCATTTCAGGAAATACATTTTTTCCACTTAAATTTTTGGTCAAAATTTATTTACTGTAGGAAGGAATTGTTTTTGCTGAAAGGTGTATTTCATGTTTTAACCATTGTTTATGGCATCATTCTGCTTACAGAACTCCACCTAAATTATCCTTTGCTCTTCAACATTTTCTAATAATAATCGCCTTCGTTGGTTATCGTCATCGTCATCATCATTATTGTTGACTCACGTAGATTATTTGCTTGTGTATGAATCAACTGTGAAAGTATATCATCAGCACATTAATGAATTCATTGTTAGCAACACTATTTGACTTCGTATCATTAAAACTACTTGTATAACTAAGAGTGAACGATAAAAATGGCTGTGAAACATAACCATTAAATTTACAGGATATGACAAGGCTTCAAGTGTTTGATCAATGTAGCCTTCATAGCATAGGCTGTGTATCATAATGAGTAACGCAGAAATCAGTTGTAGGGTTTTAAAGAGGAGAGGATTGTCATCTAGTGCTAGATGACTGGGACATGTGTTTATACCATGGATAGTCAGTCATCATCTGCATCGTCGCTAAATGTTAGCTGAGGGTATGTTCAGGCTGTAAAATGACTCAGGGGGATCATACTAAAACACTAAACCAGTGCATAAAGTTTTTGACTGTTG